CATATGTCGAATTGACCCTACCAGTTAACCATCATAGGCCGCAGACTCGTCAAGGTCGAGTACAACATTCAGGAAGCTTAGCAGTGGAAGGTGATTCTGAAGGGGGCAGAAACATAGCAGTTCCTAAATGATATCTCGTTTTAATTCCACTTAAATACTTTAGATTTAGGACCACATGCTAAGAAGAATTTTTCTGAGTGATTCTCCGTGCTGTAGCAGCTCATGTCGCACCTAGGCTACCCATAACGATTAATTGGAATCCAAGGTTCTAGCCCCCGTGCGGCCCTTCTGGCGTTAGGCCTTGAAACGTTTGCATGTTATCGAACTATCGCACTAGTGATCACTAACATCTCATCCGCCCCCCCCCCCCCCCCCTGTGCCTCGAGGAAAAGAACGTCATACCTCTCGACATATAGTCTGCGGTTCATCCGCCCCTAATTCTCTATCCCCCCCCCCCCCTGTTCAAGGTGTCACCCATCTTAGCCAAGGCTTAGACATAAGAGATAAAGCACATCGCCGAGAATACCGATCCAGCAAACCCCCTCGAAATCCGGGGAAGAAGCGTAACACACATTATCCAATCATGCCCCACCGCGTAGCAAATTTCCTGCGCAACTCGACCGAGAACTTTAGCGTTTCTGCCATTGCGAACCTGAAGAAACACAACCAGCACCAAAATAAGCACAACAACATCAACGACGGCAACAACAACAACAACAACAACAACCAACTCCACGTGCAAGACCAAGGCCTGCTGCGCAGACTGCCTCTCGACCGCCACTCGTCTTACTCGTCCGATGACGGCGAGCACATCCCCTACCAAAACATGTTCGCAGCAGAGCCCGTCGAGCACGCGAAGGAGAAGAAGCACCACCACCACCACCGCCTCTCTCTGCCCTTCGGCCGCTCCAGCAAGGATGCACAGGAGAACCCCCATGCCGTGCTCGACTGGAAGATCGAGAGCCCGCCAATCGTCTTCTTCGGCGACGCCGAGAGCTCCTCCGGCGCCCTGGTGTCGGGCCAGATGCTGCTCGACGTCAAGGACGAGCACCTCCAGGTCGAGACCTTGGAGGCCAAGCTCAACATCCACGTCCACCACAAGCGCCCCTTTGCCAACCACTGCGGCGAGTGCGCCAACCAGTACACCGAGCTGAAGCGCTGGACCTTCCTCACCCACCCGACGACGCTGAGGAAGGGCCTTCACCAGTTCCCCTTCTCCATCCTGCTCGAGGGCCACCTCCCGGCCTCCATGGACACCCCCATCACCTCCATCGCCTACGAGTTCAAGGCCGAGGCGACGCTCGTCAAGGGCACGCCCGGCTCGCAGGCGCCCGTGCGGTTCGAGCACAACTTTGACGTCAAGCGCTCGCTGCCGCAGCCCGAGTTCCCCCACCACTCGGTGCGCGTCTTCCCGCCCACCAACATCAAGGCCAGCGCCCACTACAGCCAGGTCATCCACCCGGCCGGCACGCACAACGTCTCGTTCCGCCTCGACGGCCTGACGACGGCCAACACCGCCAACAAGACGATGGAGTTCTGGAAGCTCAAGAAGGTGACGTGGAAGCTCGAGGAGACCATCAAGACCGTCGCCCCCGCCTGCGACAAGCACGCCCCCGCCGGCACCCAGACGAACCAGCAAAAGGGCGTCCCCCGCACCGAGACCCGCGTCCTCGGCGAGAAGTACATGCACGACGGCTGGAAGTCGGACTACAACAGCAACGACGGCCACGTCGACTTCGAGTTCGACTACGGCGTCGTCTTCAGCAAGCACACCGCCCACGGGTCCCGCTACGCCTGCGACATGAAGTCCCTCGACGGCACCGAGGTCAGCCACGCCCTCATGATCGAGATGGTCGTCTCCAAGGAGTGGGCGCCCGTCGGCAAGCCCCAGCTCGCCACCCAGACCGGCACCGGCCGCATCCTCCGCATGCACTACCACGTCATGCTCACCGAGTGCCCCGGCCTCGGCGTCAGCTGGGACAACGAGGCGCCCCCCGTCTACCAGGACGTGCCCCCGTCGCCGCCCGCCTACCCCGTCGCCGCCGTCGCCGCCGCCGCCGCCTCGCCCGTCGTCGAGTACGTCAGCCTCGAGCACCTCGACGGCCAGACGCACAACGGCACCGCCCACAGCAGGGAGGGGTCCATCACGTCGCCGTGATTGAGTTCCCGCAAACAATACCAAGAGGAGGAAGAGCGAAAAGTCTCCGAAAAGACTTGGTAATTCAGAAAAAGCTTACGGTAATCTGGGCAAAATATTGGAGAAACAGGACCAACATGGGGGAAACAACAAAAGTTACATTTGCTTTTTTTCATACAACGTCGGGGAACAACACTTTTTTTTGGGAATCACGCGCATTATACCCCCCCCTGGTCTACGGACCGGGCGATTTTTTGTATTCTTGTTTTCTGGGATATATGTCTTTACGTAGTTGGCCGGGAGAGAGAAAGAGACGGAGCCGTCTCAACACATAATCATTGGCATATATGTTTTTTTTGGGGGGACTTTTTGAATGGTCAAAAGAGGAACATGGTATTCCCAAGTGAAACGACCTTGAGAGAGAGCAAAGAGAGGGAGAGAGGCGTAGTTTGCATTGCGAGGCGTTGGGAGAGACTCTGATGAAAAAAGAGTTCCAACGGATGACACCGAAATCAGTCATCTCGCGTCGCATTAAGCCCACAGTAGCTAGCTAGTCCAAAGACAACAGACATAATCACATGCAAATAATAAAATGAGATGGAAAGAATCATCTAGCAAACCCAGCACTCTTGCTTGTTCCTATTACCTCTGCTGTTTGTCGTGACTTTGAACCTCATACAACTCACTGCAATATGGAAGTCGGGCTCCATGCATGAGTAAAGACGCCCGTCCCATTCCCCCTTCGTCTCCATCGAGGCGCATCAGCTGCAGAATGTAGGTAGGGGCGTCGAGTTGAGGTCGGCGACGGGGACGACGACAACGCCCAAACCGAAACGTCGCAGAACCATGACATGTGAAATCTCGAGTCAAGAGCCTCGATGGCGGGCAACAAGTGGCGACAGGTACTTTTGGGCCGTCTCCGGCCGTACCTTGCGGCTCGGCGGTAAGCAGGCATGCTGTAGGATTTTTTTCAAATTTTCAGTCTTTTTTTTTTTTTTTTTAGCTTCTTAGTTTCGATCTTATTGGGACGGGAGCTGTCCCGAAAGGCTTGGTTAGGCAGCGCAATGCGGTTCCCGCGATCTGACGAGGGCTGTTTCGTTCATCTTAGCTAACTGTTACGTGACGAGAACCGGGGACCGAGAGGGGTGATGTTTGGAGAAGTTGGAGACTCTGCCTGCGGGACGGAAAGACGCGGGGACAGGGGAGAGAGAGAGTTGGAAAGTCTAGAACGTCCGCGTCGACGGCGGCGGGTCGTCCTTGAGGTACATCGTACGAGCTCGCGACGAGATGTTGGAGGTGAGGCAGGTTGGTTTGGGTTCAGGGAAGGGTCTGACTTCGGCGGGATTGAAGCTTGACGGGCTCGACTACGCTACCTAAAGGGATGATGATACGTAATGGGGGGGAACATTTCCACCCATGGCAAGTGCCCATTGGGAAAAGTAAAATGGTGTATTTAGCGCATCGTTGGGGCGAGTGTCATCGCCAACGGTCCATGTTCTAGGAGATGGCGCCATCGTTCTTGAAACTGATGACGCCGAGATTTTGTAGCCATGGTGCATAGTGAGGTGTCACCGTTGCAGGACTGTGTGTGTGACTGGGCGCTCCGGTCAGCCTCCGTCGCGGCCCAGCTGCCGCAGTATGCCTTCGGATGACATCCCGGGGGACATCACTTTGGTAAGAACAATCCCCATGAGTCACGTTTAGCCGAAGCCATACCTGACGCTGTGTCAGGGATCTGGCACGTCATCGCCCAGGCCGGACCACTTGCACCGGGGGGAGGGCCGGTTGTCCCAGTTCTGGATCGGAGCCGGCCGTTTTGGATGGTTCTCGCGAGCTGTCGGGGATTTTGACGGCTCGCAAGCGCAAGTCGAGAACTCTGGGCTCGGCATCGGAGTCCTCCGATTCTGGGATAGGGAGGGGCGTGTGGTGTGGCGTGTTGAGCGTCTCCCTTCACGAGAGGGGACGGGAAGACGGTTTTCCGTTACGTGATTCTATGGGGCGTTTCTGCCGGAGCTTCTCCCCGGAGGCGGGCGTGGTTTTCCTTGAAGAGCCTCACAGACACAGAGGAACGCAGAGGCGTGCTGGGCGGCCACCTTCGGCACGCCAAGTTCGGAGACTCTTGGCCGATGTTGGCAGAGCCCCGGGACAGTGCATAGCGACTCATGTATACGATGTACGGAGTACGGATACACTGCGAGCAACAAGCCTCGTTGGTCGACAACGGTTTGCAACGTCGCGGTTCCCGTGTAAGACGGAAAGGCGGAGGGTCCGCCGCATGGATCCCGGGGAGGGGGAACTTGTACCCACGGATGTACAATGTATAGGTATCTCTTCCCCCTTGCCTTGCTTTTTTGGAACTTTTGCGGAGGGGGGCTCCGTAGAGGAGAATTTTTCTTTTTCTTTTCCTCTTGGTTCCTTGCATGACACATCCACAACGGAACCCGCTCAGCCCCATCTTCCGGGCTCCAATGGTCTCTGTTCCCTGTTTGTTCCAAGTTAGATGGATCAATGGGTTTGGGGGTTTTTGCCTTGGCCAGAACTGCAGCATCTGCAGCAGCATGAAGACCAACAATGGGGTAAAAATAAAAATAAAAAGGATAAAAAAAAATCATCCGATAGGTAACAGCCATTCAACAGCACCAAACAAGATGATCCCAGCAACAAATCGTTGCGTCCGGAAACCCCACCAACCAACAACCCACTTGTCACCTTGAATTTTCCCTGGTTGTAGTTGCAGGGTTGCCACCTCGTGAGCCAAGCAGAATCCATTTCCGGCGCAGCACCCAGCCAGACGATCATAGGCACATTTTTGCCGGTCGCTGACATCCCCACCCGAGAGATCACCTCGATCCCTCATCAATCTGGCCGGCTGGCGCAATGGTAGCGCTTCAGACTTCTAGCTTCTCATTCTCGAGATGTGGTTATCTGGAGGTTGTGGGTTCGAGCCCCACGTTGGTCATTCTTTTGTGTTTCTGACGTGGTGTTGTGATGTCTTTTTGGTGTTGCCATGCTTTGTCATACGATATGAATTTTGCCGGTGCTGACAGAGGAGGTTGTAAGGTATATATAATAGATGCTTTAACCCGTTTGTTTGTGTATATACTTGAACCGTAATATATGCCTAGCTATGACAATAGCTTTGCAGGCAAATCATATTGTGGCCGACTTATTGGCCGGCAACTTATGTTACTTGTCACTCATATATTGTAATACCTCGTATAGCAGTTGCTGTATACTTTCTTACAGGACAAACTTGTTTTCCGACCGACCCAAGCTACATACCAGGAGTCTCAAGTTAGGCGCGCTCCTGTATGCCAGACTCTATACCAAACCTGATCAACCATTTTACAACTTCATTATAGAGACTAACATCAATGGTAACCGAAGGCAAAATGCAATCGCCATTTCGTTATGAGTATACATAGAGTTTGATATCCATAGGGAGACAGTTCCCTATATCCAGCGATGCGAACAATGTCACTAAAGCTGAGAAGAACCGTCTCCTATCGCTTCAGTACTCTTGAGCACGCCATTATCTACTCGTACATTCTCCTTCTCTATTGAGACTTGACTTCCTCAGTGGCAATATGTGATTCTGGAAGACGCCGACCAGGGTGCTGTGCTACTGTCGACCCCGGACGTGGTTCGAAACACAGCGTCCAGTTGGCTACAGACGAGAAGTTTGATAATATTTCATGGGTTATTGATGCTCTCTTCGTCTTTCACGGCTCACCAGGAGCGTTCACCTCTTGATTAGCGCGTCATTGAAAGTTCCAATTATAGGATATTTGCTGACGGGCTATCGTTCTCTTACTAGTGCCGCAAAGTCCCAAAATTGATGTCCACCGCCCGGCCTACAAGTATTCTCATGATTCGAGAAGTCGCATACGGTGCTTTTGAAATTTTACGCAAAGATCTTTCACTCAACGATCTTGGATCTTCATCGGCAGCGACATCGCATATGCAGTTTATTCATGCTTGGAGTCTTGGCCAAATGGGAACCGGTAGGTAATGAAGATGGCAGCCGTCACAGGCTTAACTGACAATGCCTCAGGGACTCAGCCACAAGGTAGTGCAGCGTCAGCAGAGACAACGCCATTCGGGCCTCTTCATACCCCAGACGTCGACTCAAGGGCCTAGATGGTTCTGCAGTATTGCTTGCAAAGGGGCCCATACATACCGCTATATTATTGTAGGCGTAGACGAAAGCAGTCATCCAGATCTAGAGACGCCGCCTTCAAGGTGCCTCTGCCGTTGCCGGTGCTCCGGTTCGCCGTCAAGATCTTAGTTGTGGGGTCAATGGCCTCATCTCTGCAAGTTGCGCTGAATTCAGACGCCACAAGACCCAAGGCTGTCAGGAGAGCAAAAGAAACGAGAGACTTCATCGTGATGGCGCTGGGACACCGGAATCGGAATACTAGGTGCCCAAAGATTCAAGGAACGCTGGTGTTGTTCGTCACCTTCTCACCATTCAGTGGAAACAATCTCGTCTTCAAGTAGCCCAGTGCAATATGCAAGACTCACAGCCGGGAAGTTAACCACCACGCAGGGTTCTTCCTGCTTTTCACGCTTGTTTTCGGATGGCGGTGTCAGTGACGCCGAATCTTCCGCCGCTTACTGGATGTCCTCCTGACGACAGCGGATTGAACCGCTTGTGCAAGACTCGCATGGAAAGTGCAAATGAAGACGACACTGGGCATTCGTTACGCATGTTGCCATTTACGAGTCTTTCCACGTCTCGCTATTGGTTCCGTGTTTCCTGCCTGATGATTTTCGTTGGCGGTAACATTCACTGAGTTTTGAGAGGTGATATACCACACGTCTGAGAAAATTTTAATCTTGAAGTATAACAAGATTGACCTCTGGCCATGGAATCTTCTTCGATCTGTACGCAGTGGGGCGCTGAACATGCACTGTTGTCGCTGGTTGCAAGAAGGTAGCCGGGGTTTCCGTCCCCACTCCAAAGTTCACAATTTTCTTTACGGGGTCGAGAAGCACAACCCAAAATCCGATATGGTGTAGTGGCCAACATGATGCCCTCTCATCTTGTGAGAGGTTAGGCATAGCCCCGAGTTCGATTCTCGGTTTCGGAACACAGAGTCTCCTTTGAAGAATTTCTTTTTCTCTTTTGGTTCATCACCAGCCACAAAATGCTTGTCGAACCGCCAGTATCTCGTGTTATTTTGAACTTATCCATCTCAGAGCATATCAAGTGAGTAACAGGCATACCACAGTTTCAAATAAACGGGAGATTAACAAGCGAACAAGGAGAGGTTAGACCTGCGCTGCTAACGCTCTAGGAATGAATGGCTTAGGTTGTGCTGGTTAATGTGAATACAGTCCCTACCCAGGTGAGTCGCGTATGACGGTGACTTAGCTTGATGATGAAAGGTCCACGGCATATACACAGTGACAAACCACGCAATGAAAAGAGTTTTACAGTTTTGGTCTACAGAAGGTTCTACAAAAGGCATATATATATATCCACATACGTACGGACAGTCGGCGATGGGTCGGAATGTGTTCACTCATACCCCGGGCGGAGTGTCGGTGATTGAAAATCAAAGCCCCGCAATCGCTGCCGACCCGGCAGTGGGTCTCGGACGCTTAGAAATGATGACTGACTAATCCGAACTCGTTGGTGATGATGAAATCGCCATCCGGTGGCTCTCATTCGTCTTCGACCAAGTTCGACTTAAAGCCCCCCCCCTCCTCGTCCTCGACATATCCCCCTCCGCATCCCGTCTGTGGTCTGAATATCCCACCATCAACCTTGCATCAGACGCGAACTCGCTCTCGTATGAGCACAATCCTACGACGAACCCCAGTCTTCGTTTCAACACTCAAACCCAGCATCAGAAATAGCGGCGTTTCGCCCATCGTCCATAGCAGACCCCTCGCGACAATGACGACCGGCAACTTCCGCTACCTGGACCCTGCGACACTGGGCGGCGCCGGCAGCAAGCCCTGGGCCAAGGTCGACACGGACGTCACCTCCTTCACACGCACAGAGCGCCGGCGCTCCGTCGCCAACATCCGCGACGCTGGCGAGGACTTCGGCACCGACGTCTCCGGCTTCGCAGTGCACAACGCCCCGGCCACGGAGAAGGACTTCACCGACGACGCCGCCGTTCGGAGCGGCTACTACCCCGAGGTCGAGGCGCTGCTGCGCGCCAAGCTGCCCGGCGTGAAGAAGGTCGTCATCTTCGACCACACCATCCGCCGGAGGGTCAAGGACAGCCCGAGGCAGCCGGTACAGCAGGTGCACGTCGACCAGACGCCCGCCGCCGCCGAGGCGCGTGTGCGGAGGCACGTCCCCGGTGACGAGGCCGAGGAGCTCCTGAAGGGACGCTACCAAATCATCAACGTGTGGAGACCCATCGGCCACCCTGCGAGCGACTTCCCGCTGGCCGTGATTGACTGGCGGTCAACGGAGCCAAAGGATCTCATCGCCGTGGACTTGCTGTACCCCGCGAGGACGGATGCGGACGACGACGACCGCGGCAAGGAAGTCCTCCCCGACCCGAGCCGGGCGCAGTCCACCGAGGGCTATCAAGTAAAGGGTGAGTTCCGAAATCCAACCCGTACGACATGGGGCGTTTCGGGTGGGAGGGCTCCCTTGCTGACAATGTTCTCAGGCGAAACCTTTTCTGTTGCGCCGAGCGACAAGCACAAATTATACTATGCCAAGGATATGACGCCCGACGAGGCCATGTTCATCAAGTGCTTCGACTCGCGGAGCCAGGGGCGGCCCGGAGGAAAGCCGGGCGTCGCGGACTACACGCCGCACACTGCCTTCGTCGACCCCAACACCCCCGCGGACGCCAAGGGGCGGCAGAGCATCGAGGTCAGATGCTTGGTGTTCTACGAATAGATGTCTGGCGCCCGAGGGAAGTCGGGAGTCCGTCACCATGTAGCATGTAGATTATTTACGATGAGCGTCATGAGTCAAGACGAACGAGAAGAAAGAATGATTTATACATCATTCGTAGTCTTCATTCACTGTGACAACCCAGGCACGAGTAGTTTTTATGTGGCCAATACCGGCCAAGTTTCGGTGGCAGTTCAACGAGTGTGATTGTTTATATACTAGGTGGTCGACAGAGGGGGGTATGTATCCAACTATGCACAGGACATATATACAGCGAATGACACGGCTGCCTGCAGGAGCAGCAACATAGAATATGTCGAACAAGTATACACAATATCCAGAAGTCCAGCAGAGGTGATTGAAAAAAGAAAAGAAAAAGGGGCCTGAAGGGCTCTGGTGCCTACTGAGACTGGTAGACGGCGACGTAGGCGGTCTCCATCAAGCTTCCCCATCCGCCGACGGTGGAACCGTCTGGGTTACCGGGCTACATCCGGTTCGTTAGCATACGTTCCGGCAAATAGAGCTGATTTCACGCAAAAGACAAAAAAGGAGGAGAGAGGGAGAGAGAGAGAGAGAGAGAGAGAGAGAGAGAGAGAGAGAGAGAGAGAGAGAGAGAGAGAGAGAGAGAGAGAGAGAGAAAAGACTAAAAAAGGAGAAAAACACTCACCCAGTTACCGCCGACCGCGACGTTCAAGATAAAGTACAAGGGGGCATGGGCCAGCGAGTTCCAGATGCCCTCGCTGCCGATCCTCGCGCCGCTGATCTGGTGGAACTGCTGCCCGTCGCGGAACCAGGTGATGGTCTCGGTCTGCCAGTTGTTGGACCGGCGGTCCCACTGCATGCGCCAGGTGTGCCATCCCTGGTCCGGGATAGCCGTCGCGCTGCCGATGCCGTTGGGCTCGTTGCAGGCGCCGCCGGGGTAGGTGTCGCAGTGGACGGTGCCGTAGCCCGTCAGCTGGCCGTTGACGGTCTCGAGGATGTCGAGCTCGCCGCAGCGGGGCCAGCTGACGCCGTTGCGGATCGCCGCGCCGAGGATCCAGAAGGCGGGCCAGATGCCCTTCTTGTTGGCGATGGGGGTGTCGCCGAAGCGGATCAGGCCCTCGGCGATGGTGACGCGGCCGGCGGCCGGGGTGAAGGTGTACTTGGACTCGATGCGGCCCGAGGTCCAGCGCCCGCTGGCGTCCTTCTGGGGGATGATCTGGACGGTGCTGCCGCCCGAGAGCTGCAGGTTGTTGCGCGACGTCGTGTATTGCTGGATCTCGTTGTTGACGTTGATGTTGGTGATGATCTGCCAGTTGGCCTCGTTGACTCCCGTGGCGGCGGCCCCGGCAAAGGTGTCCTGCCAGATCCGGTTGAAGCCCGAGTAGTTGGGGGAGTCCCAGGCTGAGGCGGCCGGGAGGAGGACAAGGAGGGTGGAAAGGAGGGACTTGGGATGCATGGTTGCTGATCGTGGGGTTGATACTACGCTTCAAGAGCAAAGGAATGTGGACCGTGGTGTTTGCGGTCGTTCTGTCTGTCTGTTCTTCAAAGAGACACAAGGAGTGAAGAAAGTTTGATGTGAGGAGTTATCCCGAATGACACTAAAGGAATGTGATGCAGAAGCTTTATAAAGAACGACGGATGCTTGCTGCTATTGTTAAAGGAATGGCATGTCTTGGTGCAACAAGATCACGATGTTGGCGGCTGTCAGGATGGTCGCACGAGGATGCGGTGAAGAGACCATGAAAGCAGGAGCCAGATCCATCATCCATCACGGGACCTACACCACATACATATATATGTACAGAAAGAGAGTGAAAGGAGAAGGGACCGCAGATGCAAACAACAGGGGCCGCAGCTGAGCAAGGGGGGGTTCGCTCGCGGTGGTCACATTAGCGTTATCGCCAAGAGGGCCTGCTTTGTCGAGTCCAAAGCCTGCATGTTTGCCCAAAGGCAGATGCGCCGGCGCCGACCAGGGGGAGGGGCAAGGGAATATGGAATAGGTTTCCCCTTCCCTTACCTCCTTCTTGAAATTGTCGAGACAGCCGAGGTCTTGGAGCCGCGTCCAATCTTCAGCAGAGAAGATGACCATTCGTGGAGGGGTGGATAGAAGCCTGGGTTCAATCATATAATCCCTGCCCTTACTTGAACCTCTCCTGTCATCTTAGCGCCGCACAAGACCCGGAGCTGGTGTCCGAAACGTCAGATGGCAATGCTTCTGGAGGAGGGACGACGCCGTCCGAGCCCACGAGAATACCGCGGCACGCGGCTGGCGAGCTGCGGCGTGCTCTTGTGAGACAAAAAATAAAATAAAAAAATAAACTCACAGCCCCCGTCGTCAAGGGGCCAGCTGGGGCCACGCAAGGTAGGATCCAACACGCCGGAATCCCTCGTGCTGTGTTCATGGCCTGGCAAATCTAGACGTCCAAGTCGGCACGCCCAATATTGCGAAGCGAGGCGGCCACAAAAGCAAAAGGGAGGAAATCATGGCTGGCTCGAAGAAGAGAAAGAAAAAGAAAGGAAGAATAAAAAAGCGCATGGTGCGTAGAATAAAAAGATTAAGGCTCAGCAAGCGTGGCCAATCGATTGCCGGCATCACCAGGCGTACGATCCGACCCTGTTCAGGGAGGCATCGAGAGGCTTGGGGGCGTCTACTCCTTCTGGGGCATGTATCGGGAGAGGCTTCGATTCATCTCGGGCATCTGCCAATGACGGCAGGAGATGACAGGCTTCTTGAACAAAAGGGTGCCCGCGAGCATGCAAAGCAGGCATGGGGGCCGGTGTTGGTGGGCTCTCGGTACCGGTGGCGCGAGCCGAATGTGCCGTTCGCGGCTCTGGTTGGTGGAGGTTGGATTCTCTTCTCGTTACGTCCCTTCGACCCTTGGATCGCCACGCGGGAAGTGACATTTGGCAACCCCCTTGATCCTTGGTAGAACCATAGGAAAACCACAGATGGTATCTCAAGGTCTAGACCTTCTCGCTTGAGCCGAGATGGGTACGGATCCTGTCCGGTTCTGGCTTATTCCATTTCGCCAAGGGACGATGGTGTACTTCGCGACGTCCAGTGACTTTTGACGCCTCTCCAATACTTTCTTGTCTCGAGGGACACCGAGCGATGATATATTAGTGACTTTGTGCGAGAGCGCGCAGCGGAGCGACCGGGAAGCTGGTAACTAATAACTATTACATTGAACGCCACCACGCTAGCGGCAGTTGTGTAATAGAGCCCGGCAGCCGGCTACACAACCATACACCTGCGCCAGGCATATTGAATGTCTTCTTGTCTCACCTTGGCTTTGGGCAACGAGGAGTGGCGGCTAAAGAACGGATGGCACATTGCCACATACCGTGGCCTGCACGACGAGGTAGCTGGAATTCGTGGGCAAAGTGGCCTCTTTTGGGAGGGCGGACCATTTGGCAGATGATGTAGGTTCTGTCCAAGAAAAACGCGTTCCAGGGACCCCATGGACAAGCAACCCGGGAACTGTTCTGTAACTGGCTCTATTCGTCCACGTCGGATGGGAAAAAGGGCAGGTGGAAGAACCCGATGCCACCTTGCCAACATGGGCCCTAGCGGGGGTTGAGAGGCTAGGCTAACGCGGGCAACTCCCTAGGTTGGTCTAGTATCAAGGCCTGATTGGCTGCAAGTACAAGTGCAAGGGGGGGAGCCGTGATCCTCAAGGGGAAAGGTTTTGTGCGTGTGGATGTGTGTATGTAGGTATGGATGTGTGTGTGGATGTGGATGTGCCGTAGACTGGGCTGGACGCGTGCAGCGTGCACGGCAATCCGGGTCGCAATGAAGGAAAAAGGATGACGAGGAAGACAGAGACAGATGGAGAAGTTCAAGGCGCGTCATGCGAGAATCTCATGACTCGTGCAGTCCTTTTCCTTAGCAGAGTGGTTCATCTCATCATGGCGCTGCCAGTCAGCAGCCCCCCCGGTCACTAGGCCGGCACCTGGTGGCTTTCCCTCGCCACCCTCTCCGACCGGTAGGCCGGCGCTGACCCCACAGTTCCCCGCGGTCTTTGATTTCGGCGTGTCGGGGTCACTTCGGGATGATGGTTGCAACGGGCTCGTCAGGCGACACCGTCACGGCTCGAGGAAGTTCTCGTCAGGGAATGCTCTCCCCTGGAACCATGTGCTGCAAGTTCTTTTGAAGTCTTCAAAAAACGATGGTGTGCTATGTAGTCAACGATGCTACGTTACAGGTGCCGGTTCAAAAGGAAAAGCGAGCTTGACCACAACAACTGATGTAATGGTTACCTCCGAGTGGCCGGGTGGAGAATCGCGGAGGGAGGTCGACTAACTATCTGTGAAGCGAATCTGAGAACAGAGGGGAGGCACAGCTCTGATGGAAGCATATTCTGGAGCTTCACATCGAGCTGAATATGGTTACAAAACGGGAATCATTTGCCCCACTTACAAAAGCATCGTTTAGAGTCAAATTGTGTAGAAAGAGAGCAACGGCGGAACAGATTCTGTCTATATCATAATAGTATCTGGCTTTAAAGCAGATGTTCCTGAGACAGATCAACCACCATGACCTCGAACATTGAAGAGTTAGCCAAAGGTTCGAATTGGCGAACCTATATAGATTAGGAATTGGTCTTTATCATAGATACTTGATCTGAGAGGCTACTTCATAATTTTTCATAACAAGTGGATGTCGTGGTCTCGCAGCCCATCATCATGTTGCCCTACCATCTTTCGTTGCTGGGAAACAACCAGTTCAAAGCATCACTCTTGAACACCCCGTCTATAATAATAGTAGAAAAGATTCGTTATTTAGAATAAAGGATGTATTTGATAGACAGACCACACTCTATGGAAGTCTTTGGTTCATTATTTCAAACATGGTCATATTCCTCATGGTTGTACAATCAGCAGCAACTCAACTAGCCTGAACCTTACCCTCAGGTAACATGCTGAAGGGATGTTAATCGACTCATTGACGAGTGACAGACTCCTCAGACGTATTTGGTGCTGGAGCGACGTTGCCACTGGCAGCCTTGCCATTCGCAAATTCCGAAGAGGTGCTATGAGTCAAGTCTCCATCGTGATTGCTCCCGTTCTCAACGCTTGCAAGCTTCGCTGCCCTGATGTTCGTGTTTAGTATCATGAACCTGCTCAGAAGGGGAGCAGACTTACTCCTTGCGCTTGATGTATAAGTTGAGAACGTGGGTCGCGGCGATGAGTGCCACCGCACAGCCCAGACAGAAAGAGAAGCCTTTGGGGTAGCTCGGGGCTTCAACGGTCGGGAAGGTCAAGAGAGGTGTCCACGCTGTGGATGACTGGGCAATGATGGTGATCATGACCAAAGTGAACGACCGTTGCTCGGGTGAGTCCCGGAGAATGGTGTTGACCCATCCGTGGAGCACGCTCGAGAGCGCGTTGGCCCAGTACATCGTCGAGAAGGCGAACCACTTGGCGCTCTCCGGCACATCCCAGACTACGAGCATGATGAGGCCCGTCACGTTCCATAGCGAGGAGAAGGTAATGGCCCACGCCGGCCCCAGGACGAGATCGGACAGGAAGCACGCCACGAGGTTGTACAGGATGCCCATCGCCGGGGCAATGGTCCCCATCTCGTTGACCTGCGCCGGGCTGTAGCGGCCGAGACTCTTGATCCAGAGGAGAAAGCTGCCTGTGCTCTTGTGGATGCCGGCGTTCCAGAAGAGAATGTCGACGAGCACAACGGTCCAGAACTGCGGGCTGAGAAAGATATTCTTGAGGTGGCCCAGCTTGAACTTGCCGCGCGTAACGTGGCCGCCGCGCTCGAGGCGCGCTCTGGCGACTTTGAGATCGTGGTCGTTGAGGATCCAGCGGTTCGGCTGCTCCAAGGTGCCGGGGAGGAGGAAGTAGCCGAGGATGCCGACGGGTATGGTGATGATGGCGCAAATGATGTACATCCAGCGCCAGCCAGCCATTCCGTTGACGCCTTCGAGCCGGTGCAAGGCCCCAGCCGCGATGAGGCCTGCTGTGAGAGTCCCGAGATTGAGACCGGTGTAAAAGATGCCGCCCCTGCGTGCGATTTCGTGGCCTCGGTACCAAGAGCCTGCAGTCGTGTTAGAATGGGAGAGGTCCACCGGCGTAGAGCCTGCGATGACTCCAAGACAAACTATGCTTACCAAAGACGTAGTGCATAGCTGGGAAGAAAGCCGCCTGCGACACCAATGTCAGCAAGTGCTTTACAAGCGATCTGCGTCGTGGAAAGTTTACCTCAAAGAAACCAACGAGAAAGCGGTACGCCGCCAATTCCCCAAACGAGTTGGCGCGGTATTGCAACAGGGTGAAAAGCCCCCAGAGGATATCCATGGCGGGGATCGTCCAGTACATTGGGATGTACGTGAACAGAAACATAAAGGGAACCATGCCGACAACCGCCCCGACGGTGTACATGGTTTGGAGTTCAACAAGCTCGTTACCTTTGAAACCGAGCTCTTCCTTCATACCTCCGACGTAGGCATTATCTAAGTTGATCAGTATCCTTGTTCGCTAGTCGGTTGATAGTACATTCATGGTACCTACTCAGGTTTGCCTGGTCTGTGAACAGGAATCAATTAGTTGACGATGCTCCGTAGTTTATAAGAGACAAGCCAAAACGTACCAATGTATTTGACCCAATAGGCCAGGACAGCGTAGGGAACTATGATGAGGTCCAGCTTGACGATGAACTTGCGCTCCTCGGGCGTGTCATCGTCGGAGTACCATTGAATCTTCCACCATTTCTGCCTCGGCACCGTGTTGTCTGCCATTTTTTGGCCCGGCGCAAGCAAGCCGTGCTGCTTCGCTACCTTGGGAAGATTGGGCGTCTCGTTCGAAGCGGCTCTGAGGCGGGTCTCGTTAGACTTCGAGATGTGACGGCCAAGCTTTCCAACATCCTTTCCAAATGCCCGGGGCGTAGTGCAACTGATATTTGCAGGAGGCTTGCCGGTCGTCGGCCGTGAACCCCTGCACGCAGCAAAAAACCCTCCCGCATTATCTATTGCGCCAGAGCATCTCAACGTTGTGCCATACAATTCTTTTATCAGCTGAACTGACCATTTGCGGAAAGCGTCCCACTCACCGATCTAAACCGGGGGGTCGGGAAGCTCCCGACATTGCCAGAGGCGTTCACTTTGGTAGGGAGATATCATGGCGAGTATGACCAACGACAAGCTTCAACGTGCAGGACCCTGCCGGGACTTGTCCGATATCCCGCGCGTTCAAGTCCCAATGGCAGCAAGGTCCGTCCAGGAAAGGAATATGAGTGGGGTACGTAGCCGCATTGAAAGCGTGCTTTGGCATCGATAAGATAACCTTGCGTGTTACACTTGCAGACGAAGACCATGTATAAAGGCGGGAATAACGCCGTATTGGGACTGTGAGGGGATTTGAATGGCGGGCTGGGAGCCTGGTAATAAATGACGTGCTTTACAGTCGTGATGGTGTTAGATGCGCCACATCCAGCCTCCGCTAAACTCCGATCGCGGGTGAGTATCAGCTTATAGAAGTGGTCAACCTCAGTTCTTTCAATTTCTCCGCATCAGGGGTCCTCCAGCATACACTGACAGTGCAGTGGAGCTAAGAAGGACGACTGAATGAGATATACATGAAGATTAAGCTTAAGACAAATGATTATCCTATTGGCATCCGGCCCCTCGGGTCATCAGCAGGTAGCCGCTGTCACTCAAGAACGCATGACTCGTGTCGAGGATATTCGCGCCGCTGCGGGAGTCGTGACTAAAAGAGCCCCCCAACTTCCCTTCCCAAGCAGCATTATAGGAAACATACTGGATTTCTGGTTGAATTCCTGGTGCAGATTCAAGCGACAACATCAAGCTTACAATTTGCCACAGTTGATGCGCGCGAGGGGGATACATGTAGCACGAGCGGAAAGTCTACCGTCATATCAGCCTTCACGAATGGCGTCGAAATCTTTATGCAACTTAGTGACCGATCAGGTTGAATCGGGTTTATAGATTTTCTTACAGCTATGGCCAGTCCTCCCGGGTCGTTAAGATTGCCAACACGCTATAATCAGTACCTCAATATTTTACCGATGCGGGTCCAGAGGGACATTATAACGCATGTAATTGTGCTCCAAAAAGTGTCTTTTCGGTTGTCCTCGCTATCCTGACTCAAGCTATGAGCTGGGCTATATATTAGAGCGGCAACAGATACCCAGCTCTAAGTGCGTAGCTATCAGAGCCTAAGAAAAGGGGGTTTCAGACAAATAATTTCATTGTTTATCTTGTCCCATATCTTGCCTTCGTAACCTTCATCCACAGTGGCTTCCGTTTTCTTGTTGTGTTTGAAACTATTGGCGGTGGGAGATGAGATAGTACACAATTGTTGGTTCTACCCCCCATCTACAAGCTATAGGGTTGACCGTGATCGAAGAGATAGCTTGGTATGGGCGACGTAATTGCCTATGATTTAGTTGATACTCTGAATGTCATTGGAGGGCTCGATTTGTCGCATGACCTGGTCTCTGTTACGCTCCACGGCTACGATTACAATCTCCCGCTGCCTAGGCTATAGCCGGCTCACCACGTTTAGCGAGACAGAACCAGCCACGGAAGCCCTGTATGCAAACTTCGCGGAATGGCTTGTACAAATACGTATGATAAAATTGCCATTGCCTGCTGGACTTGGTTTGGTGCCTAATACCAACTAGAGCTAGGTGGACTCCTTCATAAAATGTGTAAATCTGAGATGCCGATTTTGGATTCCGTTGTCCGTCGTTGCACTCCTACAGCTAGATAGTTGTTATCAGAGTGAGGCATCGTGTTCGATGCAGAGAGGAAATACCTTTGCAGCTCTGTCGCTGTACTTTTCTGCAAATCTTTGACTCTTCATATGCTTTGCAAGGTACTTTGGATCCAGGAACGAGATCTGGAGTACCTCGTCGCCCGTGTCAGGCCTCAACAGCTTCCTGAAAAACGCACTAGCCTCACGGTCGCGGTGCCAGTACAGCTGGTCATCCACGTCCTTCCGAAACGCTTCCCCTTGTTCAGAGTCGTTTGAGCCCCTGAAGACAAATGAATCCTCGTCAAAGACTGCGCTCGGCGATATGAGCATCTTGTCCCGATGATTCGCGCTGATTTCTCGGGCCATTGCGAGGTGGTGCGCCGAAGGATGGCCGGTGGGGTGGCGGCTCGACCATCCGGGAGACGGGAAGACCTGGGTGGTGTATATCGATACGTTAACGAGGGAGCTTATGACCGCGGCTAGGGTCGATGTCCAAAATCCTTCAGGGTGTTTGGTGATGAGGTGAAGACAGAGATGCGCATACAGGTCCAGGCTGATTCCCGACCCTCGATGAGCTGGATGTATGACAGTCAAGCCAGAGTGAAGCAGTGGCCTGTCGAGGGCTATGATGGGCAACCAAATGGCGGAGAGGAACGCAATTACTTCATCCTCGTACCGAGCAACGACGATCACCTTATCGTCCAAAGCGGTGGGGGATGCTTTGTCGAATACCTGATATTTGGGGAGGCGGCTTAAGCAAAGACGGCCCAGACGGCACAAGGAGTTTTGCAGCTTCGTCGCCTCATCCCTGTTCAAAGTGAGACCAGGATGGTCTAGGACCTCTATACTGTAAGGCCGATGCATTCCGTACCAGTGTAAAAGAGTGCTGGTCTTGCTCCTGATATTCTATTCGAGTGGGGGGTTGCAAACACTTTATCCAGAGAAAGTCGGTGGCCTGGACAGTATTGGTAATCAAAATCTAATTATAAGGTCGGCTATAGCATGGCTTCTAGAGCTTCCTGGTCAGATTAGTTATTCACGCAGAAACAAGAGAGAAATGTAAGGAATGTGACGTAATATGCATGCAAGGTAGGCTATACGGAGACACCCTTATCGCCACCCCTGGCTATGGGATCTACTTTGAAGACCGAAGATCTCAATGCTGTTGTTGTTACGGTGGACTGGGGCGCTCATTGGTAGTGTCTTATCACAGTCTGCCTCCTGATCCATATCAGAAATAGCATCTTGCAGTGTTTGGGGGTTAACGGAACTGCATCCTTCTTCTTGTGCCGGTTACTTTGCCTATCTTGCGGTGGATTGATCCTTTTGTATTCGGATACTCTTGCCACAAAACAGGCTTGTTCTTTTACATTCCCACCACGTTGTGCTTCGAAACACAAACCGGACCAAGTGAGACTTCTACTATGGATTTGCAGGAGAAAAGACTTTAGTTATCACTGGGAAGACTGACAAGCGTCCAGTACATGTCGGTTCGCCCACGACACAATAATTGGGCATAATCCCATTCCCATTCGACGTATCCATTCTCTCAGTTACGATATAGCCTACTCGACTTACCCGATCAAGCTGCACTCACACAATGCGCCGCTTCTCCATCTTTCCCGCAACTTCCCAGTGCTGCCGCTGTTCCGTGATATGGTCAAATGAGTGGGTGGCTGGACAAATGGAGAGACCGGCAGCGTCGCGAAATGTCGCCCCCAGAGATGGACGCTTTCTATAAGTCACCTTAAGATAAGCAACACTGCGGTGTAAAGCACAACGCTGCTTTCGTACCACCAAACTGTTAACAAAGGAAATATTACATGGCTACATCACCAAGTCTGACATAGCAATGCTTTGGCCTGGACGTGATGCCCTCGACGGGCTCGTAAGTCGAGATCTCCTTGGCGCACGGCAGCAGCTCAAAGTTCCAGATGATCAGGGTCACGAGCAGCTTCAGCTCCAGATACGCCAGCTTGCGTCCGAAGCAGCCCCTGGTACCCAGTCCGAAGGGGATCGCCGGCCCCGAAGTGGCGTCGTAGCGCTCCCCGCCCGTCTCATCGTCCGTGACCAGCCACCGCTCCGGCCGGAAGACGTCAATGCCGTCCGCGGGCCAGGAGCGGACGCCCCGATCCTTGGCTGCCTGCTTGGACGTCTCGTTCCGCACCGCCTCGTCGATCTCGAACGACGGCGAGGTGTAGCTCGGGCCGATGTTGGGCATGAGGACAATCGTACCCGCCGGGATGCGGTGGCCGAGGACCACCGTGTCCTGCGTGCACTGTCGGTCCATGACCGGGGCGGTGTGGGCGAGGCGCAGGACCTCCTCGATGACGGCGTCGAGGTATGGGATCCTGGTCGTGCTGATCTCGCTGTGCGAGGGGGCGCGGTTCTCGACGAGGGCCGAGGCGTGAGCGGCCCGCAGGTCCTGGCGGAGCTTGGTTTGGGCTCGTGGGCAATCGGCCAACAGCTTCACGCCCCATGAAAGAGTAGTGCTGGTGGTATCGTGACCGGCCATGATGAAGCCAAGAAGCTAGGGTGGGTCAGTTTGTGGTGGGCAGGGAGAGAGGGTTAGGGGGGAGGAGGAAACGTACCTCGTCCTTCATGACTGACGACCAATATACCGGTTCACGACCTTCCTTTTTGGCGAATTTGCGCTCCCTCTGAATGATGAGATCGACGGCGCACTTGACCCAGGACTCGCTATCCTCATCGGTGTCCTTTTGTAGTTTCTCAATGGCACGATAAACCTGCTCCTTGACGAACTGAGCTCGCTGGTCCATGAGCTTCCTCTCCCTGGGCTGAAGCTTCTTCCACCACCACGTGAGTTTCACGAATCCGGACTCGGCAATATCTTGTATGAGGTCGCCGGCAGCTAGGATTGCCTTGATCGACTCGTGGGGTTGGGCTATAGGGAATTCCACGGGATCCGCCGTGGCCGAGATGGCCTGCACTGATTGTTTCTCTTGCCCCATGAGCAACTCGGCTTGCGGCTTCAGTGCCCGGTGAAGATAACTGTCCCCGAATCCGAAATCCAAGACGGCGTCAAGCGCGGCATGATAGAAGTCTTGGTCGGCGGAGAAGGCTCGGCCGCCCGCGAGGCGCGCCTTGGTCTTCCACAGGTCCACGAGGTTAGCGGCGCTGGTGTAGATGTTGGGCGCCGCGACGCTGCTTAGGAACGCCGGCGTCATCAGGTCCTGCAGCAGTCGTCGGTGGCCCTTCCACTCAGGACCCGTCTTGAGGTTGAGGTGGAACTGCGGGATTTCGCCACTCAGGCTGTCGATGGTCCAGTCGGAGCGGTCGAATTCCTTCCGGCGCATGAGGATGTCCTGCGCCTCGCGGAAGTCGCTGATAACTACCGCAGGCTTCGCAAAAGGGACCAAGAAGACTTGGAAGATGGGGCTGTTCCAACGCTTGCCCTGGCCAACTATCCAACGCAGGGGGGTGCCGTTGCATTCTTTGAGCATTGTCGGTATGTCGCCCAATAAAGACTTGGTTGCTGATGGGCTGTATGGGATGCCGGGAATGGGCTTGGGTAGGAGGTATTGATAGAGGGCAAATAGTGCAAGGGCAAAGGTTACAGCCGCCACGCCGAGTATGCGGTGCGGCGCATCTAGGTTGTCCAAAAGCACCATCTTGAACGCAACTGTCTGTGTGGTGTCGAGGGTAAACATTGTGGCCGCAAGGCTTCAAGGTAGAGGGTCCAGCTCTCACCGGTGTCGACGTCTGTAGATATGTTTCCTTCTCGATTCATTTCCTTCCGGCTTTTCATGACTTGCTATATTCTCGAGACATGGTGTCCCTCGCGACCCGCGGATGCCCGCTGAGACCGGCCTGGTGTGTGGGGACCCAAGGATCCTGCAAGATCGTATTGCTAGGTTGGGTTGGTAATTATCTTATGCCTGCCACCCTGAAATTAATTCCAAGCGCTATTATGCAAGTAGCACAAGCCGCATAACAGAAACAATGAAGCACGGGGGATTCAGAGCAATGCGTCAATCCACGGAGAGGAGTCAATGAATACGAAGAAGAAACAAACAATGAGGGACGGCGGAATCCAAATAGCGTGATGGCTTGCGACAACTATATCCAATTACGCTCATGGATTCGGAGCGTTGATATAGCTAAACACCAAGAAGGCTGACAAAGGTTGAATTACATGGCTCATTTTCTGATGGCTTGCCCTTCACGTATGGGGTTTCTCTATATCAAAGAAAGCTCTTTGCCATATGGTGTATATATATATATATTTATATCTGGGCAGTTTGATCCGCGCGCCCTGGGAGCCGAGGTCCCTTGAGCGGATGCGGATCCCCGGCCAGCCGCCACCAGCGCCGTGCCGCACCGCCATCGGCTGCAGGAACCCCGCTAATACCCCTCCCAAGATGTTACCCCCTGGCGGCAAGATGACCTGAGCCGGCCGCCCTATGACTTCATGCTTGACTACTTAACCTTTAACTCTGCAACTCTACACAGACATCTCCAGCCCCTCAAATCATCTCGCCATCACATCAATTGACGCCTCATACCATCCCCGAACACACCAATTAATCTCACAATGGCCGACACCCCGAGCGCCAAACGCCAGAGATCCTCCAAGGACGTTCCCTACGAGCTCATCTACTGGCCCAGCATCCCCGGCAGAGGCGAGCACGTCCGCCTGCTCCTCGAGGAGGCCGGCGCCCAGTACACCGACACCGCGCACGCCGAGGACGGCATCAAGACCGTGCTGGCCCAGATCGACGGCAAGAACCTCGGCGACGACCTCAACCCGCCGCCGTTGGCGCCGCCGATCCTGAAGCATGGCGACCTGCTCATCAGCCAGACGCCAAACATCCTGCTGTACCTCGGACCCCGTCTGGGACTGGCGCCCAAGATCGCCGAGGACGACGACGGCATCTACCGTGTCAACGCGCTCGCGCTGACGGTGCTGGACGGCCTAAGCAACGAGGCGCACGACACGCACCACCCCATCGCCACGGGGCTGTACTACGAAGACCAGAAGGAGGAGAGCAAGCGCTGCGCAAAGGAGTACATCGCCAACCGCCTGCCGAAGTACCTTGGCTACTTTGAGCGGGTGCTGAAGGGCAAGGCCAGCGGGGAGGGACCGTGGCTCTACGGGGGCTCTTTGACGTACGCGGACTTGGTGCTGTTCCAGGTGAGTTGGCTTGTATGCTTGAACGGTGGTGAGTACCTGATGTTGACATGAAGAAGTGCATCGACGGTGTCAAGTTTGCCTTTCCCAATGCCCTCAAGCGGCTCGAGGGGAGCGGCGACTACAAGGGCGTATTCGAGCTCTACGATGCCGTCAAGGAGCGTCCCAAGATCAAGGAGTACCTGGCCAGCGACCGTAGACAGAAGTACAGTGAGGGCATCTACCGCCATTACCCAGAGTTGGATGAGGAGTAGAGGAGGTATAACGAAAAAGGCAAAGCTCACACCGACAACATAGGAAGCATAGTTGAACATGTCACTGTTGTAAGGGAGAGAGTTGATGGATAGCTCAGGGCGTTCAACATTCATTCATACGCCATGGTGCTGAAATATCTGTAGAACTCGTTAGCGAGATTCCTTCTGCCACATTCTCAGTCGTATCGATGCCCCCTGGTGTTATGTCTGTGTGCTTTCTGTAGATGTTGGTCTTCCTGCTGCAGACCTTCAGTAGTAGCTTGTGAACGCATTGGAATTCCGTTGGCGGTTGCGTATACCGGCTTCCATAAAATGGACGAGAATAGGAAAAGGAAGAGACTTGAGCCATGCAGGAGACCCTCAGGCTTCGAATAGATATGAATTTCCCGAGCCGGGCGCATCTATCTCATGTTTAGAGCCTAGGACCACCTAATGGGTTTCTGCCAACCGAGCCAGAGAGAGTCTGCGCTTGTTTACTTCCCGCGCCTTCCCTCCCGCGTTCCCACTCACCCACCGCTCACCTTTGGGAGTGTTCCCGAAAACAACAGCAGCAAGACACCGGGTCTCTCTTCTTTTCAGCTCAGAAAATTTCTCAGACGCGGTGACGAAATCGTTTGCTGCCAAAATTCGCATCGCCAAATCGAGACAAGACAATGTCCGAGGCCAACCAAGATGTGGCCGCGCGTCGCGGACGTGACGCCCAGCGGCGCAGTCGCAAACGCAAGATGGTGAGTATTTACTCCGGTTCATGAAACGCAGCCAACACCTTCAGATAACACGGCAGTTGCGTTGGGGGACACCCTTACTAACTTCTTGCGCCACGCAGCTGCAAGAGCGCCGTCAGGCTGGCCATGACAGCGACGACGAAGACGACGACGACAACGACGACAACGACGACAGTACGATCGAATACGATGGACGAGAGGATTGCCCGGAGAAGAAGCCGGTCAGGATCCAAGAAGCCAGCCACTGGGTTGATTCCGAGGCCGAAACCGCCGCATCTGAAGTGGGCGACAGCATTGACTGGGAGGCCCTCGCAGCCGAAATTTGTATGGCTCGTATGTGCCCTGCCGCAACCCCGACAACAGCAAGAAAAGCGTTACCGATAGCTCCATCGTGGCTGCAATCGGCGAGACCGATATCAACCACACCAGCAACCGCAACGGCGCCGCCAACGCAAAGGGCCTCAGCCAGGATCACGAGACAGGCAAGAACAAGATCGTGGGCGGCAAAAGCGGCAACGGAAGCAGCGGTAGTGTCTACATCAACGCATTCAAGCCCATAAATGCCAGGTGGATGCCCCCCAAAATCGGCCTACGCCTGTTCCCTACTGCTATAAATAGCCTCATCACCTATACACTTGACTGACTATTTGTACTAGAACTGTCGACTAGGACTGTGCTTCCACATGAATTTCCATGCATCGGCTCGACTGAGAACGACCTGGATCATATGCGTGGCGCCAGTGGCTTCCTACTCAACATATAGTCTCGGCTTTATCGCATTCGGCTTGATCTCAGTGCTACCAGTTGTCCTTCTCGTGGCCCGATCGACAAGTGGCAGAATTATTGAAATCAGGGCTTTGGGCAGCGAATCCGAAGTTATACATGAGAACAGCACCATTTGAGAGCTAGGATTAGCCTCAGGTTGCCATCTAGACCATTGAGGTAGCTAGGTACTATAGGAATCAATAGAGAGAAAAGTAGAATGGGCATGTAATTGAGAGTGCAATCAAGGAACGAGGCCCGCAGCCCCTTCCAACATTCAAGCCTACAAAATTTGATTCACTGACAGGTATATCCGTAACGGCATGACCTTCCAGAAAAGCATTCTGGTCTTCCAATCTTATTCCCAAAGAGGCTAGGTTCAAGGCAAGGAGATCAGGCAGATGGGAAAGAGCGAGACCCCACCAGATGCATCCCATTTGGTGGCAGTTACACTTTACCACGGTTCCTTCCGACCGACTTTTTTTCCACCTCAACCCAGTCACCAACCAAGCAATTTCCAAGTCTTGAACAATAAAGCATTCAAATCAGATACAACGAGGTAACCAAGTTTGAGAGATTTCAGGTCAAAAAGACTCTAGACAACCGTTCTTTATGCAGATCAACACTAACGACTGGCCATCACAGAAATAGTTGACAATATGGGGACCAAAGGGAAGAATCCCGAGAAGGAGACCGGCAACACCCCAAAGACTGTAAGTAGCCCCATGACTTCTTTGTGCAGTCAAAAAGTCCAAGAAGTTCAATCCTCGTCTCTGACATCCGCAAAGGGCAGGCCGACTCAGACCGACGGCAACGACGCCATGGAGCAGCTTCTCGAAAAGACCCAATCATTCCACATGGGTGCTGCTCTTGTGCCGGCCGAAGAGAAGGCGGTTAACGTGAACGCCAAGTGCAAGGGCGCCTTTGCGGTTGCGGCCGCGCAGGATAACTGGGACCTCTTGGAGGTGAAGAGGATTGTTGCGGAGGCGAAGCGCGATTTCTATGGTTGAGGAGCGTACACAGATGGTTGGGATCAAGCGTTTGAGACGGATTGAACGCCCACTTTGTGCCGCTGGCAAAAGTCAGGCAGGATTGTTGATTCCTGCCTCTGGAGCATCTGATGGATGGAATGGTTAAGGGTAGAGGGCAGATGAGCCAGTTATAATGTCCCAATACTTACCTGTCTAAGCCCAAACGCACTTTATGCAGTTTGGCTTGGCCCAGAAGGTACATTGTTCATTCTGGTAATCATCGCAGCCACAGATAGATGACCTCCTCTGTGCTCACCTTGATCCAAGAAGCACTTTGCTTCAGCGCAGTCAGCTGTTCAAACCAGTGAATTGGAGCCAGTACTCTGACGAACTAGAAGAGTTGACTGGAGTTGCGTGATGATCATTGACCAATGTGCTTTGATACTTGGGTTAGGCCCAGTGTTGTAGAGGTCAAAGCAATGAATAGATGTGTTGGAAAGTATCCCATTCTAGAAAGCTACGCAAGTGAATGAACAACATGGAATACCCTTACGAGAGATTTTATAAATCAATCGCTGCAGCCTCAAGTTTGAATTTCGAATCATAAACCTCATATCCATCACACACCCCTGTCTTTCATATCGACTCCCAGCATTACAGTTTTCCTTCCTCGTCAATACTTCTGGTGTGTATTCATGACAAGTCGGGTAGTCAGCTGCCTTGATTCTATTCACGGAATTTAAGCACTACATCAGACAACAATGTCTTTGAACGCTATTTGGAAGGCCACCGAGGCCCGTTGCAATGAAGTCCACGCCATCATAATCGAGTTCGAGCTACTTCCCAGGGCGTACCAAGTCCTTGACGAGGTATGTCTTCTCCCCCCGAGCTCTGCCGCACCCGCTTCTTCTTGCTTCCCTCCCTCTGGGGCACTGACATCACTGGATGTCATAGGATGATCACTGGCTTCTCGCCATAGCGCTCCAGAAGCTCGTGGTCGAAAGGTTATATGAGCTGCGGCCGAAAATGGAGATGGTGAAGTTGGGTTTGGCGGTTGCCCGGGACGCTCTGCTTCAGGGATATGTCTCGGAGTTTGACACAGAAATGTCTAACATGGTCGCAAGGATGAAGGCTCATGTGGTAGCGTGGAACGGCCTGAAAGGAGAGCAACTGTTCCGCGAATGCTACTAAGGTGGCACAGCTGCTGAGAGCGGAATGGACGAGAACATGGCCGAGGATTAGGAGCTTTGAGATACACAGGAAAACATGGGCCGGCTGGAACGGTCTGGATATAGATGAAAAGCGATTCTCAATGGAGCATATTAGAGTCCAATGTGGGCCCTGTTCATCAGTGGATGGATTATATGTTTGCCTTGGATGGCCTTGAACACGGCGATGGGTAGTTCCCGCCTCGTCGGAGAAATCTTACGAAACAAGTATGGAAGCCAGCAAAGATAGGAAAAGAATGGACAATGGATTGAGACTCTTCAAGCTTCTAGACCCCGGAAATGTGTCGTGAGCCGTATGAGATTTTCATTGTCCAGCATGCCGGCAGCTTCCTCCCTTGAAACCAGCCAGTCTTGAAGTGGCTACAGCCCATCTCCCTTCGGGTCATCCGCCAGCGTGGCAAACAAGCTGAGTCAGGAGTCTTACCTGAGGGACAGGTGGGTACTGCACTGCTAATACAGTCAAATATCAACTCTGCTCCCTGATCACGGAGTCACAGCCATATGATACGTGTCAAAGTCAGGCCGCGAAAGTAAGGACAAAGCCACCTTCATAACCACCGACCTCGTCTGACGAAAGCCGTTATAGCAGCATGGGTTTCAAGTTTCGATAAATATATGTATCCATTCTTCATACAATCACTTATCCACTGCTCTCCTCTCGGTCCAGCGGATATCCTATCATCGGCATTTCGAACAGTGATTTCTCAAGTTCTGATCCCTCATATGCCCTGCATGGCTTCGAAAGGCGCCAAGAAAGGTATCGACGCCAAGGCGAAACCCATCTCCAATGCCTCTCAGAAACCAAATGTAAGCCAACTGTTAATTCCCCATGCTTGCTTCCCCGTTGCTTTTGATGTTTTCACAAATCGCCTGATGATGACACAGAGTTGGCATACCGACCCATACCCGTGCACCGCTCCGAGATGCATCGAGGTCGTCAAACTCGTGGGCCAGTTCATGGACTTGTCCATGGACTACAAGGTTCCCGACGAGGTATGAGATAGCATTTCTCTGGTCTAACATGGCAATGGGCATAAGCTGGCGTGTCTGAGAACATTGGCTGATTCCAAACATCCCGAGGTGGAAAAAAGACTACGTACGGGTTCTACGCCGCCGTGATCGAGGAGCTGAAGGCCCAGTATGCGGCCATGGCGGCCGACTCGGGGGACTTGAAGCAGAAACTCTCCGGTCTGTTCAGGGAGTGGCAGGATCAGGGAGAGACGCCCATGGATGCGGAGGTCGTCGGAGCCGTCGCAAGGATGAAGATCTTCATGGCCGCTTGGACGAGAACGGTCGACGAGATTGAGACGCTGAAGTCTGTCGATGGGTCGCTGGCAAAGCCCTCAAAGGCTCGGAAACCAGCAAAGGGCGGGAAATAGGCCTGCTGTGTGCGGTATGGTCTGGTTCGGGCAGCTAAAGAACCGAATCAGCACTGTTTGCATGACAAGGGCATGGAATAGACCTGCCCTCAATATACAAACCCAATCGGCTGGCTCTTCCACGCCACATAATCTTCTTCTCAACTGCAGCACTACGCGATACACTTGATTCTGTCTCTTCCAATAGCCGTTCGTCATGCCGAAGAAAGTCGGCCGCCCCGACAAGAAGCAGAGTCAGAAAATGAAGGTGAAGAAGCTCTGCGACGAGGCAGCCAATATTTCGGACGAGCAGAACAAGCCAACGAAGCAGGTGTCCGAGGACGACAGTATCTCTGCTTGAGTGGCTAGCAGGTTGCCAGTGCCCAGGGTGGTGTTAGGGGCGGTGGACGATAACTTGGTAAATAAATTGTTCTTGCATTCCATAAGCACCGGTATCTATGTTGCTCCCTTCCTACACTGCGAAAGTGCTGGCAATGTTTAATCTGTCTCCCACCTTTCCCATAGTCCATGATGGCCCGCCCCAAGTTCCCCCCACCAAGCGAGAGTGCAAGCGTGTGGATAATCCGATATTATATTGACAGCTGTCCATAATGCGTCTCCATCAAGCCGCGGGGGAAGTCTTATCCTTCTTCAAAGGTGTCCACCCACCCTTCATGGTCTCCATCCATTGATCGACGCATTCGCGCAAGCCCTCGATTCTCGTCAGGAGCGTGTCGAAGCCCTGATCAACCTCTCCGAGCAGCTTGATGCTCTGCTCGTCCAGCGTGCTATTGCGCACGTCCTGGATACTGGACCGAGAAACGTTGACCCTGATGCGCATGTCGTTGATCATGTCACTGAACTCCAGGATCTGGATGTAATCTGCCAGGTTTTTCGCCTTATCGATGGCCTTGGGGATCTTCATGGACTTGATGCCCGCCGAGAGAACATCGCACGTCCTTTTGGCCGCCTGTATGGGGTCGGTGACGGAATCATCCTATTGGGGTGTTATCATGTGGTGCCTGACAACGCCTGACAACAAGGCGTCAGGAAGCGTACCTTGGGCTCAACCTCGGGCTTGGTAGACTGATCCATCTTGGAATGGTGTTTCTCTCGAGCGTTTGATGTCTTGGTCAATGATTATCTTGTCGTTGGCGGTTGGAATTGCTTTCGGTCTTGATGGGAGGGGTTGAAGATGGGAAGCGGTTGGGCAAACGGAAGATTCGGGGCAATCCTCACAGTACTTGGAAGAGGGAGTTGGACGAAGTGGTTACTTCTGCATTGATTGTTCTCCATAGTGGCAGGCGTCGTTCTCGCGACTTCTTTGAATCTTGCCCGCGCTATAGGCATATGTACATAGGTATTAGACGAATTGCACATACGGGCACCTTGGTGCTAGACAATACTACTTCCACTACTAAATTCGTTGAAAAACCGCATTCTGGACTGTCATGGCTGTGGTTGTCTTCTTGGCGCAAAGGGCGAAAGTGTGCCTTGATATGCTTTTTTTGCGACTTGGCACAGGGCGTGGTAAATGACGCAGGTCACCATTTGAGGCGACGAGAACCAATTTTTTAAGCACAAGGCTTCCTATTCTCTTTCTTCTTTCTTCTTCAAGTTTCTTCCGACTGTTTCTACCGAAGTTATTCTGGCGGGTACGAGACAATGAACGGTCTTCGGAAGAAACGAGACCGCCTTCCATGTTGGATGCATATACCAAAGGTACGTACCTGCCATCTCCATACTGCCTCCCCACCTCCCCACACCACGGCCCACTCTGGAAGCAGGTATTACCGAGAAGCAGCCCCAAGACACGGCAAGAGCTTAATCCACCGCACTTGCACCAACATGGGACAAAAACATGCTCTTGGTTTTCGATGTGTCGATCAAGCAACGCCCATCATCTGGTCAACACCTCGTCTAATCCCCGGCAGTCCCCAGACGATCAAGCACACGATGGTCTTTCCAGAGCGGGTCTCGTTCGGAAGGACCAGGTTTCGGACTCTTACCGCGAGCACCCATCCAAGGCACGGGCGGTCTCTCCTGGTCTCGGGCACACGAGATGCCTCAAAGGCGACTGGCATCCAAGTTCTTTGACAGCCTTTCTGGAAGAGTCTGGAAGCACTGCAAAACATCCAGGGAACCAGTTCCAAACGTGTGGCAATAGGAATCAGCAGGGTTTGGCATGTTTCGGACATCTGACGAAGAGCCAGATATACGACCCAGTACCATGGAGCTCTGTTCTATCGTCGCTACACGCCAGCGCTTCCCAGTGCAAACTGCCCGTCGTCCATGTCGATGTCTTTCCGGCTGACAGTGCAACCTCGCCTATCAAGTTCTGTGTCGTCTGGGGGGGAACCTGTCGAGCAGGATAGCCCCGTGCGCTGTCAACTCCAATTTCCAAGCGCCCGAAGTCGTATTTCCCCTTATGTGGAACAAAGCGAGCCAAAATTCGGCCACTTTGAAGATGGATAGTTGATGGATTTGCTGGACAGGCAGTACTCACTTCGCCACGGTGACAGCTAGAGCCAGTGATGCCCACGTGGAATCACGCTTTGCTTTTCATTGGAACTTCTGGCCGCCTGATGGAGGCTTCATGTCACTCCATCCGAGCATATGTTAACCATGCCTCTTGCCACCGATGTTGGAAAGGAGCGAATGTTCATCCTCTCTCGCCCCCAGAAATTCGCTAGAACAAGCTCGCAGTTCTGGCCAAAAGACTCGGTACGTCATTCGCCCACATAGCCTGCAATCTCAGGTTTTCCGTTCCATATACGTCATGGCCTTGGTTTCTTCACTGCAATCTTGACCGTTTGCTTTTCCATACCGGGAGACTGGCGACAGAAGTGGTCCGATACGTGGTCTGGCATGGCATACTTCAATGATTTCCCCGAGAGGTTAAAGTTCTTCAGCCCGAAGGAGAGGAGGGACATAATCTTCTACGTCTGCGGCATCATGCTGTACAGATTTGGCCTCGAGGCCTTCGATGGTTCCATCACCGCGCTAGCCACCAACCGATACGACTATGAGAGCCACACCAACGGCACTCCCTCCCGCACCTTTGAGAGGCTTGGCCTGCTTCAGGGTCTCAACCAGGTCACCCAGTGTGTCGGCTCCATACTAATCGCCCCTCTCATCAAGCATTACCCGACCAAGAACGTGCTCTCATCTGCCATCCTGCTCTTCGGTCTGATGACGGCGATCCTGCTCATCCTTGACGCCGCCACTGGCGGCACCTTCGTTCCCGCAGCCTACCGCAAGAAGCACCCCAAGAACGAGTGGCCGTACTACGGCAAGTACGACAACGACGCCATCATCCCCATTTACACCATCCCTGGCATCGCGTATGGCATGGTCGAGCTGATCCGCCGCGTCATCCCTCGTGACATTGTCGGCGGTAGCGTACAGAAGCTTCGTCAGATGGACAGCTTGGTGCATATATTCTACGAGGTGGCCGGTGTCTCGGGTGCCCTTTTGAACGCCTTGGTTCTCATCCCTAACCTCGGCAACAACCGGTCTTTCGTGATCACCCCGATCTGCTTCACCCTCGCTGCCGTCCTTTTCTTCTTCGTCGTCGATGACAGCTGCGCAACGCCCTCGCGCGGACCAAGGCGAGCAAGAGAAACTATTTTGTCGCCATCGGCAAGGGCTTCCTCCTCTTCTTCGAGTCTACTGGGGGCGGCGCTCGCATCCTCTTCACCTCGACACGTTTCGTCTGGCTCGTGCCGGCGTACTGCATCGCCCTCTACGGCCACAGATACCTCGAGAATGGCATAGCGCCGCAGGCCGCGCACCGACATAACAGCAATGGTGTTCGCGGCGACATTCATCCCCAAGGGCTCCCGCTCCTTCAACCCGGAGCTGCTGAGCGAGACGCAGCTTAACGAGGATGTGGCGGACGACTCCTTGTCGCATTCCGAGAAGACCATGGTTGAGGTTCCTAAGCACAGTGATCCGGCGTCCGCAAAAGTTGTTTGATTGCTTTATGTTTCCAGTTTCTTGTATCGAAGAGTGGGAATTGTCAGGTCGGGATGGTGATTGCTGCGCACGGAGTTACTCTTTGGGGGGGGGGGGGGGGGGGGGGGGCGAGAGGAGGAGGGCATCAATTAGGCTGCTTTTAGCGAACAGCCAGCATGGCGTGGCATAAGATGGAAGTGATAAGATGACCAGCGATTGCTTGGTCTTGCCGAGGTTCCAGCGACTCGAAGACTGTGGTTTTGGGCGATGGTCATACGTCGGATATTCAGAACAACGGTAAAGCTCGAAATACAGAAGCATTTCTCTCATACAGGTAAAGCTGCTACCTACCAGCCTGCCAGAACCAAGACAAGGCGATCCAGGTCAACCCTTCACGATCAAGACGTAATCCAACACGACTCTCGAGCTAATCACCAACAAGGGCCTTCTCTCCAACTGCAAATCCAGGCTTGCAACCTTCAATGAAGGGCGGTATCTACCCCAACCCAAGGGTAGCCGGACCAAGTCTCACAATCCGAACGTAAGACAAAAAGAAAAGAATAAGAACTGATACATCAAGCCCACGGCCGGTCCCGCAAGGGGATCTCCACCGGGGTGAAGCGTAGCCCCAGCTGGTTTAGAAACACGTCGAGGTCACGCGCGTCCCTGACGTGGGCCGGCAGGATCCAGTCCCCGGCGACGGGCTCGAAGAAGCTCACGCGGGCGCCCGGGTCCCCGTGGACGTCGAAGGGCTCCCACTCGACGCCCGGGCCGGGGGCCGCGCGGGAGACCCACTGGCCCCTGCGGCGCATGTCGCGCTTGACGGTGCGGTACCATCGCCTCCGCTGGGCAAAGGCGACGCGGTGGCGGGACGGGTCGCGGGGGTCGTTGGGGTCGTGCTCGGCGTCGGCGTCGTGGGCGGCCTCGGCGGCGACGAAGGTCGCGGTTCGTAGGGCGAGGGCGCGGGAGGCGCGGAGGGTCCGGCGACGGGCGCGGCGGTGGTGCCAGAGGGCTTGGTGGCGCGTGAGAGCGGCGCGGTGGGCGGTGAGGGTGTGGTAGGCCTCGGCGGAGGGACGGAGGATGAGGGAGGCGTCGGGGAAGAAGGTGCGGTGGAGGAGGTGGCGGATCGAGCGGCTGCGGCGGTAGAGGGTGACGCGGGTGATGCGTAGCTCGACCTCGCGGGGGGGCTGGAGAGGCAAGTCAGTTTGATGTTGGTCGAGATAGGGTGATGGGGTGACCGGGAAAGGAACGTGTCAGGGGGGGAGATGGGCCAAGGACGAGGGAACGAGGGAACGAGGGAACGAGGGAACGAGGGAGCAGACCGTGTCGGTATAGACTCTGCAGCTTTCCTTTCGGTAGTCTTTCTCAAAGTCCTCCACTTGATGATATAGCGCGTCCGCATCATCCTTGGTGAAAGTCTTGGGCTGGGAGCCTTGGGCGCCCTGGGCGTCATCGACATCGTCCCAGGGGTTAGATTGTTTGACGATGCGTCGCTTCTTGTGGACTGGGGAGAACGGGATGTCGGAGAGACCCGTAGGGAGCCTGTGTTTGCCTGCCATTTTCTGAGGCCAGGAGGGGGTTCGAGGAGGAGAGATTGTCTTCTTTGTTGGTGGACACAGGTTGAGACGCGAGGACGGACTTTGTTGCTTCCAATGAAAGGGGTTGGCTGAGACAGGAAAGCTATGAAAGACGATGGAGACTATGATAATAGACAGTTGGCTGCTTTGATGCTGGGTGGGTGGCGCCTTGAGCGGCTGGTCATTTGGCGGGGACAGAAGAAAACAAATATGATGTTTGTCTTGTGTGAAGTTGTCATGTTTTATCCGTGACAGTGGCCGTGGACATTCACGTTTGCATCGAATACACCTCAGGCGGTTTGCCATTTACACAAACCTAGGAGGCAAGCTGCCCGTTCTTCCCGTTTCACTACCTCTCGTGACTCTGGCTCTGATGTGTCTGTTACTGCCTGCCGCCTGTTCTCTTATAATCAAGATGCTTCCATTACACCTTCCTGGTTTTTTCTCCAGGCCATACTCCGCGAGCGAACATTGTCCATTCTGACTGCCTTCCAACTACTCACGAGCCTCGCCCTAAGCCCCATGTCGATAGACGAGAGATGACACATCGATATCATGCTGCATACTATTGACCTTGAGAAGCTCGAGTTGTCCAACAGCCCTCTTTGCCCTTGTTTTAGGTCTTTGTCTTGCCCAAGTGCATCTTCGCATTACCACTGTAAAGCAGTCTGTCTCTATGTAGTTCTCGAAGGCACGAGCAAGACCTAGCCAAATTAAGGAACGATCACTCAGTTGACGGGGTAATTAAACCTAGCAATTCGGCTTGAAGCCATTTACGTGAATGGCTCAAGACACTCCAATCTCATCTTCAAGGGCAACAGAAGTCCAAGATGGAGCCCGTCGCTAACACGCAGCAGTCTGGCAACAAGCCGCAACCCACCAGCCTAGAGCAAACCACCATCAACTTCTACTTTTCTTTTGCCTAGTAAGCAGTCGCATATTTGATAACCGGGGAAAAAACAAACACCGTCTTCCCATGCCTCCAATCTCGAGCTCCCGTCCCCCCCCCCCTTCCTCCCCTCGCTGACCACCCCAAGAGCTTCTTGTTAGACGCGGTCGAGGCCATAACCACCATCCAGTACATTGAGAAGCACGAGCCCACAGCGCGGTACACCCCGAGTACCTCGCTCACCTCGGCCGCCACTCCAAGGAGCGCGTCGAGCTCTGCGACAAGACGCTTGTCACGCTCGACCTCGCCTGGAAGCAATCGGTCCGCCAGGGCATCCTCCAGCCCGACCGGCAGGCCCTTGAGATCGGTATCCTTGAGGACTACTGCGAGAACAGCAAGAAGCTTTGGAAGAAGCCCCGGGGCCCCGTCGATGTTTGAAACCGGAGACGGGACCACGGCTCCAACAGCCAGCCTTCCATGTAGCAACGATGGAAGCACTATCGAAGAAGGACGTATGAATTAGGCGGCTTTTCCAACGTTGGATGTGCGAGAGGTAGCTCACTGTTGCAGGATTTGGATCAAGAGAACAGCTGTATAGTTTACGTATTGACGTGCCTTCACTTTCTAACATTGGCGGGATTGATAACCGCTTACCTACGTCCCTTGCCTCACAGTTAGCAGAGAGCGGCAAGGTCGTCAAACACGTGCCTGGAATCAAGATGCGTCGCTGTGAAAACACTCACGAATCATCACCTAGGATCACTGGCATAATCGATTAAAGGCTGTCTTGTTCCCATTGAGTTGTCTCGAAAACGTCTACCTGCCAATGCAAACCCAATAACATCAAATCAAGAACCAAAGCATGCGTCCACCCTTCCGTTTGCGGTCTCATGTCTTTCGAAAGCGCAACATCCGCAAAAAGCGTACCAGTGACTTTCTTTGCATACCGGAAATGCGACTGTTGATCTCGCTCAAACCTGAACCTCCAACGCCGTGACTGCATGGTCACTTCCTGCCATTAAATTGAGCCACCTATGGCCCCTGTGCAGGAACGTCATGTTGGCTGGGAACTCCGCGGACACTGATGTATTTCCGATATGCATTTGCCAAGCCAATAAGCACGGCTTGAGCTACCTACCACCACGCTGAAGATTCCGCTTTCTTAGCCTTGGCGGTGGGCCGCTCGCCCCAAGCGCCATAAGACTTCTCCTGCGCGGACTCGGAAGCGGGCGTCTCGGCACCCCAGGCACCCCAATCGCAAGCGTTCGCCGCAACACAGCGGCCGACAATGGAGCCCTCAGACTTCACGTTGGAGCGCAGAGGGAGGGGAACGGGGACGATAGCCGATTCTTTTCGGGCACTTTTCTTCGCCTGGCGCTTCTTGTCGCGTGTCTCGTTCCACATCTGGACCGCTCGGGTTCCCGAGTTTCCGTCCCTGTCATCCGCCATGTTCTTCGCAAGTTTTTCAATATCAACCTTGGCACGGTGGAGTTTATCGTCGAAGTTCATCTGAGGCTCCTCCTCCTTGTAGTCGATGCGTCGCAGCTTTTCCTTCATCTCACCCGCCTTCTTCTTCTCAAGCTCCTCGCTCTGCTCGTTGAGACGGCGGAGTGCATTGTCGAAGGTCATCTGAAACTCCGCCTCATTGTCGTAGAGACGGTGGTATACATTGTCGAAGCTCGTCTCAAGCTCTTCCTCCCTGTCGTTGATGCGTTTCAGGGCCTCTCTCATCTCCTTGTAGATCTCGCTGACGAGACTTGGATTGATACAACCAGCGATCTCGTGGGAGACGGCGTCCTTGATCTCGTGCTTGATGAATTCGTGTTTGATGTTCGATTTCATATGCTTGATGAGCTCTCCCTTGAGCTCAGCCTTGAGTTCGGTCATGATGTCGGCCTTGAGCTCGGTCATGATGTCGGCCTTGAGCTTGGCCTTGAGCTTGTTCTTCAGTTTGTTCTTGATCTCGGCCTTGAGCTGGGTCTTCAGCTCCTTCTTCAGCTCCTCAATGATAGAGGCCTTGAGCTCCTCTCGCTCCTTGGCCTGGGTGTCGATGGTTCCGTTTGTGTTTGTGTAGTCGGAAGCGGGGATCTTTTGCTCGAGAACGTACTGACCATCGCCCTTGGCACCATTCTGGTTAACATCAGGCTCCTCCTGGACCAAATTGATGTCTGAGAAAGCATCGTTCAGAGCAATCTTGACAGCCTCAAGCTCGTCCTTCTCTTTGTCAAGCTCCATCTGGAAAGAAGCAATCTCCTGGGGGTCGAAGATACCCATTCCGGAGAAAGCGCCGGAAGTCGGGGTAATGTTCAGTGAGTTGTCGTAGTTGGCGAAGTTGTTGCACTGGATGGCAACAAGCTGTTCGACGGCCGCCATAGCCTTCTCCAGCTCAACATTGATGGACGCAAACTGGGTTCCTTTCTCGAGAAGCTGCTCTTTGGCCAAGGCGAATTCGTCCTTCTCTTTCATCAAAGCGTTGGTTGCAGCGTCGAGTCGGTCTGCCGCTTGGGTCAAGAGGGCGTTGGAGGCCTCATTATCCTCCATCATCTGGAAGCACTGGTTAGGCCACATTGTCGTTACCAAAGCCTTGGTAGTAACTAATTTGGTTTCCTAACAAAGTCCGCCAAGTGCTTCAATGTCAGGACTCACCTTTCTGATGTTAGCGGCCTGAGAGCCGACGTCAATGTTTGGTTCTTGACGCATAGTGACTGGTTTTCTGGCCTGAAAGGTGAGTTGTAACACCAGTTCAAGGAAGTAAGAAAGAAAAGTGAAAAGAGTGAGTCTCTTACGTTAATCCGGTATTTATCTGATGAAATCAGGTGGTTGCGAGTGAAAGAGGTTGCGTCTAAGAGCAACTGCGGCGTGTTGGGGTCAAGGTGAGAGATTTGGGTGGATGAGACGAGTTGAATTGAACAGCGCAATGAAAGAAGATTGAAAAGAGTGCAAGGAAAGTGAGCTGTGTGGGCCACAAAAGGTTGTTGCCCTAGAAACCCTTTGCTTGTTGGGTTTAGTTCTCTTACTTAGAAGGAAGGTACTCTACATCAAGTGAGTTTGGAAGGTGCGACAAAGCAAAGAGAGTGAAATTTCACTTGAAGGCTTCTTGCCTCAGGCAATTGATGCTCGTACCTGCGTCTCAGTCTCGTCCTTTGCGCCAACAAGAGAACCATGGTCATGAGATGGAAGCTCTACGAATACGGTCATGTCATTAACCTAAAGGAGTACAGACAGAACACTCACTTCTGCTATATACACATCATTGTTGTGTTTCATGCTGTCATGGAACCAGTAAAAAGCCATCTGGACTAATCTAGCCTATATCCCTCTATCTGTTATATTCAAACTTACATCGATACATCTGTTGCAACGCCCAAGCTTAATATTGACCTTGGCTATGAGCTGGCTCAAGGCGTCTTGACGCCAGGGTACCCAATATATTAGCAAAGGATGTCCGTTTGGTCGATCCGTCTACCTATACACATGTGCCTCACTTCCCAAATAGAGTAGGAGGTTGGCTAAAGCAAGATGTCAGCACCGACCGATGGGTCGTCTATTGTCTCTGCTCAAGTGACTGGCAATTGGCAGGTGTTTGAGGTAGTGTTAAGGATGTTGGATACACAGATTTATACATCGACAGATATATAAAAGATGCACTCGTCGATCCTGACCGGCCTAGCGGACAGTTAGACCAAACAGGCGCCTAAAAAGGACTATCTCGAAAATGCTTAGCTTTGGATGTCCACCACTGTCATTTGTATAGTAATTGTGCATATCTACTCTAGGGGCCACAAGCTACCCAAGTCGGCGCAGGTAAGATAAGACGACACTTCTGCTTTGTACTATTTCAATCAAAATGCCCCCATCAACGACAGATACCGTCCGTTGTGTAAGGTGGGCTGGGGCTCGAAACCCAAAGGCTTTGCTATCATCCCCACTATTCCAAGCATAGCTGGATCCGGATGAATTCTCGGGATCTAGATGCACCGGCAAAATCCAGAAGCTGTAGGAAACAGATCTGATCTGATTTAATGACTTTACGGACAACTTTGAATTCTTTTTTTGTTTCAGAGACGGGATTGATGGCTTTCATGATGCTGTATATTGTTGACGACCTTTATGACTTGAGATGCTTATACACCTTTCTTCTTTGCCTCCTTGGATTCTTGTCACTCATAAACCTGCAATATCCCTTACTTGATTCTATGATGAACATGGGTTTTCAGGTCGCTGCAAGGCCTCCAACTCTCAGGATCATAACTGGCTAGGTGAGATACCGGTGTATGAAACATATAGGATTGACTGACCAAAACGTTCCCCCGCCACGATGTCCAAGCCCCCTGATCCTATCTCATGTACGTATCCTTTGAAACTCGTTGGCATGGGCAATCAGTAATATCTTCCCAAGACGCATAACCGAAGCTACAAAATTATAATGTCTATCTTGTGCTCGGAACAAAGAGAAGATCCGCCCAGCATCTTGTCTAGATTCCAACATGCCCAAGCCTCAAGAGCATGTGGTCCGCGTCAATCTTCCCCCTAATCTCGCCTGACGCCAGCTCCTCGACGTCCCAGTGCGCCCAGACAAAGCGACCGTGCAGGAATTTGGCCTGGGAGGAGGCGGCCCAGACGGCAAAGGCGGAGGGGAGCTCGATATCGTCAAAGGGCAGCTCGGCCTTTCTGACGCCGTAGCCGGCCCAGACCTCAGTGAAGAGAAAACCCGGGTGAAAACTCACGATTTGGGTCTCGGCCGGGTCGACGCCCTCTGCGAAGAGCTGCATGGACAGCGTGCCGGCGTTCTTGGTTAGGGAGTAGCTGGGCAGCTGCATCGAGCGTGGGTAGCGGGTGGGATCGAGCTGGTGGATGGCGGCCGTCGACACGTTGATGAGATACTGTAAAGAAAAAGAAAACGGCATGTCAATATTAATATTCCCGGAAGACTGAAAGTGGGACGAAAAGCATGGTTTCCCTTACTTTGGTAAGGATTGGCTTCCCATCGGACGTCCTCTGCTTATGGAACCTCTCGGCCATGTACAGGGTCGCCCTGACGTTGACCTCAAAGGTTGCCCACGTCTCGGCAATGCCCAGGTCAGCGAGCGTGTTGACATCGGTCTGGAACTTGGCCGCATTGAGCACCAGCACGTCGACTTGACCGGCCTCAGTCCAGAGCGCGTCGACCTCGGCGTCGCAGGCGATGTCGCAGGGCTTGTCGACAATCACGGTAGGGGACGAGAGCTTCTGGGCCTCAGCCTCGAGCTTCCTGCGAGCCTTTGCCAGCCCGTCGGCGCGGCGGCCGGCGATGATGACGCGAGCGGCGTGGGCGGACACGAAGGTCCTGGCGATCTCGAAGCCGAGACCGCTGCCACCGCCTGTGATGAGGAAGGTTTTGCCGGCCTGGCTGAGCTCCGGGCGGTCCGGGGAGATGGCGGGGTAGACAGCCTTGTGGACAGTCTTCGTGAAGTCAGTCTTCAAGGCCTCGGTGATGGCCGGGCGGACTACGTTGGCATCCATTGTCTAGGGGCTTGTTCTTATATCACGGAACTGAAGAAGATTGGCGGATTGTGCTCGCTGTTGCTGAGAAGACCGGTTAATGATCTGACAGTAAGAGAGAATGGCTTGAGTACTAAAACAAGTATTGAAGAGAAACTGGGAAATTCATGGATTAATATATACCACCATCTTTCCCTACCCGAAGCGCTTGTGTTGGTGATGGCCATGTATTTTGCAAGCTGCGGGAGTCCATCGCGGGTTTCCGCCTCATCCTCCCTAATCCAAACCTCGTCGAACAGTGGACGAGAAAGGTGTGAGATCCGCGCCAAGCCGCGCAGTGTATCCGTATTACTATCAGGACAAAAGAGGTGTGCGGGTGCCAACCTTTTCGGGATAGCGTCCGCAGGACTTCCGCACTCTACGCCCCGGCCCCTGGCTAGAGTGCGATTCGTCTGACAGATGCGCTTACGAGCCAGCCTGCCAACAACAATCAAGCCCATGCATTCCAGAGATACATAGCTTTTGTAAGGAAGTCTCCTGCAAGTGTGTCTGCAGATCTTTGATTCTACAGTCTACAAATCGTCCAAAGGGCCCGCGCTACCTGACCCCCCCCCCCCCGAGGCGGGCCTTATTCTGGTCGGCAAACCGCAAACCCAGCGGCTTCCCGCTTGCGACAGACACACGCACAATCTTGTGCTGCCGAGAGTTGGCGCCGCCTGTGACGCGGGGCACCCAAAGCATGGCAGCGGTGCGGACCATCAACGACATCAAGGCATGCGATGCGTGCGCCAAGTCGAAGCGCAAGTGCGGGAGGGAACTGCCCGTCTGCCAGCGCTGCGTTGCCAGGCGGCGTGCCTGTGTCTACCCTACCCCTAAACCGAGAAACTTCGTCCTTCTTGCAGAGGATGATATCCCCCTAACACAGCATCAGTCCCTGGCGCCGTTGCGCGTGGCCCCTGAACCTTCGTTATATTATGATCCACTTGGACTGGATGACGATGCGCTGCGTGTACTCTTAGGCTATGATGTTCTGCTGTCCTCTTCGATGCAGCCATACGCCGCGACTGAGCCAATACCGCCTCAAGGAGCACCGAACTGGACCAGCCCAATAGCAACCAATCTCTTTCACTTCAGTAACGAGCAGCAGCCATCACAGGATATGGCCAGCCAGTGCTCCTGGTTCCTCAGCCCAGAGAGCTGGACTCTCGTCACGACCGGGCACATCTACCAACTGTCAGCCCTGACGCGGGGCGCTGACGTGCTCGCTGACCACATCATCAGCACCCTCAAGTCCTGGCTCTCCAGCTGGGTGTCCCGGGGAGACTGCCCGTTCGTGCACTCCACTCTCTACTCAGACCGCATGCCCCGATGCGTCGCAGACGCCTACTCAACCCTAGCCCTGTACAGTGTGCGTACACCTGAGAACCGTATCATGGTACGTCGCCTATTCCACGAACGGATGCTGCGCCTCGTACAAGAGGGCGCCAGCCCGGACAAGGAGCACCACCACTACCAGCACCTGCTGGGGCGAATGCAGAGAGCAGAGCGAGGACTACCAGTTGGAACGGCGGAAGACGGGGAAGAAGCCGCCCGTTTATTCTTCCCCGAGGGCAGAGAGGTCTTGGTCCGCCTCGCGCACGTTCAGGCCCTACTCGTCTACCAGATCGTTGGCTTCTTCGATGGCGAGATCTGCCTGCGTCGCCACGCCGAGGCTCTCGTGCCCACGCTCAACGCCTGGCTCGAAGATCTGCTGAGCGCGGCCCGCACCGCCACGTCTAACCCGCTGCTGCCTATCCTGGGGTTCGACGGCAGCAGCGCCGTGGCGCCACTGGCGCACACTATGGGACTTGGAACGCCACCAGGAACCTCAGTGACCGTAGAACCAAATGACGGGAGCGGCGGCAGCCAGGGACTTGGTGTCCTCACGCAAAAGGAGGAAGATATGCAGTGGCGCCTGTGGGCCGTGGTCGAGAGCGTGCGGCGCACATGGACCGTCGCGTGCCTGGCGCAGGCGGCTTACACGACGGCGTACAGCGGCGACGCCATCTCCCACGGCCGACTGCAGCTTACCTTGACGGCGGGTGCCTGGGATGCGCCGTCGTCGTTTGCGTGGCGCAGGAGCCTCGGGAAAGATAGCTTTCGTGGGTCGGCAGCAGAAGGAGCAGCAGCAGAAGCGGCCAGAGGAGGAAGAGGAGGAGGTAAAGCACAGCAACAACCGCGACAGCTGGTGGATTTGCATGACCTGCTAGCCAAAACGAGGCCTGATGAGGTCGATGAGTTTGGAAAGCTTGCAGGCGAGGCCGCGTTTGGACTTGACGCCATGGAGAGATGGGGTGTTGATATCAGTGCTACTCCATGATCCTCGCGAGGAATTGCCCAGCTTCTTGTAAGAAACCATCCTGTCGAGTGCTGCTGGACCTCATCTTGACCAAGGCCGGGATAGAGCCAATCGGGGCGGTTGTCCCGGAAAGTTCGCACAGAGGCAAACAGGTTTTGAAGAAATATATGGTATGTTGTGGCCGGCTTAAAACCAGAAGTATCAAAGATACGGAGGAGCGGGAGTAGTTGCTGGGAGCTGTGCCGTGAAACAAACCGGTCACTTTACAATATAGTGTGTTTGTATTACAATCTTGCAGCCTTGCTACTCCTTTGAGATCTGGAACGGCTGCCAGGAAGGCTGTGTAAAATATACTACTTGATATTAGGATAGATTTCCCGACCTAAATAATAGAAAATCAATGTCCTATGCATTTACCCCTTAAGTACTACCAATCGGAAGGGAAAGTCTAGAGATAACAACAACAAGAGGTTGAGCGTTTAAGGCCATTCTTAATGCGGTTTAAGTGGTCTGGGACGCGTCAAGAGAAGCCGACTCCTCCGCCAAAAAGTTCGCATTTGAAATCCGATTCATCGGCGACACTCCAGGCACCACTCGTGACTTCGCAGTTCATAATTAGGTCTCAGCTTGCAACAAACCCCCAGATACATAAGGGCGGTCTGGCACCGGTAAATAGACGTGGAATAGGCATTGATTGTGGCGAGGACAATGTGAACTTGCGAACTTTGGAGAAAGCCCTCAAATTTCGTGGGCCCGACTGTGAAACCGCGAGTGCCCCTCCCATGCCGACAGAAATTCCGCTGGATGACCGACCGCCACCTGGTCTGCGAGACGCAGAAAGCCAAGTTTAGGCTTCGCAAGAAGTACTTTAGGAAAGAGACGTTATGGAACCTGGTTGATGGGGTTGCGAAAAATCGAGAAGGAGTTGGAGATCTTGGAAGCCGAGATCTTGGACAACAAAGATACGTTGTCGGCCACATGACCCCTACCGACCAACGAAAAAGCATATCAGCCGATCCCTATGATTTCATCCTGCTTTCCGAGTCTCAATACTCGGGAACTGAGAAGAGAATCGACATCGTGGGCTACCCATTGTACAATGTCATGATTGTCGAATGGGACACTATGGGTTGGTTCGCAATATTAAGGATTGGCTTGGGTAAGATATCGAAGCCAGCGTGGGAAGCAGCAGCGAAACCAAAAAAAAAAAAAAAAAAAAAAAAAAAAAAAAACGCGTAATATTGAAATAGCACGCCTGTTGTCATCGAAAGTATGTGTCCCTGGACTAAATCTTGTCCGATCCAGATGAGGCTGGGTCAGCTACAGAAAATCCAAGCGATTCCATAATGGTAGAAATCTACTCATCGGCCCCTCTGGATTCCGCAATAGATTCAGCAACACTTCCTTGGCGCTAATACTCGAGGCTTATTACAATCCGAATCAGACAGTCGCTAATGCTACATGTGTACTTACAACGACGCATGCTGAAGTCGATGTAACTTGTCAGCAGTCTGTCTGCGGTGCACGTCGCATTAGACGAATTGAGAAGCCAGGGAATATGACAGTGAGAACGGTATTGGATGGCATTGCACCGGAAGGGTACCAATATCAAGTGCCAGCAGGGGTGATTGACGCATTCATGGGAACATTCATTATTATCACCCAGACGCCGTGGCCCGTGGGAGGCTCAAGGTATAGGAATGTACAAACCATTCCCCTCAGCATTGGAGACGTACTTCACCTACCCTGGCGCCCCCTTTTCTGCTCCAGGTATTGGCTCTTGGGATGGAACGGATATCTATCAAGTCGGGAACGCCGTATTCTCGCAAAGGCTTTCTCAACTTCTCAACACATTCTGGCTTTCCTCGGTGGCATCTCGGAATATCACCGGAGCGAACATAATTACTCAAAACACCACAGGCATAAGAACGCCGAATCAGTTGGTAATGCGGGTCAGTGGGTTTTGGATGTCGATTCTGCTCATCGCCTCAACGATTATGCTTGCTTCGGGTATTGCGGCTAGCATCTTTGGCTGCCTGAGACGGGGACCCGACGTACTAGATCGAGCTACTTTCTTCTTGAGGGACAATCCAAATGTCGACCTGGCCCAACATAATTCAATGGAAGACGGGATAAGTAAACTCAAGAGGACGAAAAGCTTGCGTGTTTGCATCGGCGACATCAGGCCTACGGAAGAAACTGGTTATGTTGCATTCGGGAGAGTTGGAGAGGCCATGCCGCTGAATTCGCAGAAGAAGGAGAGGCGTTATGCGTGAGTCCTGGACTGAACATTTTAGTTGATATTTAGAGGGAGAGAGAAAGAGAGAGGTAGATGTGTGTGTGTGTGTGTGTGCGTGTTTTATTCCACGCCGGTGGCTTCCCGTTTGCCTGAGGCAAAGGCATTCAAGCAGTCATGTATCTAGGACGCAATAATAGGAGTGGTGATGACGATAGTATTGACCAGGATAGCGTGCAGCGACAACGACGATAACTATTGACGAAGACGGCAACAATAACAAAGACGACGACGATAAGAACAACGACAGTAAGCTGGAGTATAGCCACAGGAAAAGCAGTCACTCTAGCACAGGAAAAGAATAGACGGTCTCGTCCCAACACCTCGCCAGGGTATTAGTGGTGCATCCATTACTAAGTGTGCATCACAACGGAGTACGATCAGACTCTACTCAGTCAGTTTTATAATTAACTCGGTGTCTGCTTGAAGCTTCTTATCTTCGCGATGACGCTCTAGAGCCGCTAGTACGATGAGCTCATCCAAGACCCGAGGAAAGTTACCGACTTCGACTCAGAAGAGGTTGGGAAACGCTTCGATGCCCGAACCGTCAAATACATACCCCCTGAAGCTCTCCATGGTGATCTTCTCAACTCGCGCGTCTGGCTATGCTGTCTTTTAGCCCGAGAGAGTATCGACCACTTGCTCGCCATGTCCGACGAACTGTAAGTTACTACGTCGTAGGACCCATATATATATAATCCTCTTGAGAGCAAGGAACAATCATATCAGACTTCATGGGAGATTAATGGGAGGGGACACAGAAGTCACCACGGGACGTTTGGCAGACGACACTTGAGATGATAATTGTATATACCCTGAAGTTAGCTGCCCAGGCGCCCTTTGCCCTTCTCAGGGACGTTACCGGCGTTAAGTACAACAACAACAACAACAACAACAACAACAGCATAAATATAATCGCTGAGTCAAGGTCGTCATCGGGAACAGAAGCCTGCACGGAGTCGGCCGACGGTGACTTTGTGTAGGTATTGACAACCTGTGGTCTCTATTGTTTGGGGTACAAGACCCGGACATCATGTCGGAAGAAAAGGGGCAGGTCATTGAGAAGAACGGGACTATGGAGTGGGGCTTAGAAGTTCACCTGCGGCACAAGTGGCTACGTCTCGCTTGAGTTGATGACAGCAGCTATTTGATGAACATTCGACTTATGCCAAACAGACCTAAGGTCAACCAACAAACATAATTATAGCAGATGTCAAATATGCCCGAAAATGTACGCGGAAGTCGAGAGGTGCTATGAGTGTGTACGAGGATAGAAAAACACCGCACAGCTATCATTTCTAATAATTAAAATCACATAAATACGTTCTTGCCCAAGAAGTGTCTAGCCAACCCAGCAACAACCTCCAGCTGCGAGGTTAGATCCAAATCGTACTTGAGTCTCTCTGCCGCGCGACTGAAGATATGCCACACCTCTATGTATTTGTGTTCCGTGTTCCGGTTTGTCCCGATAGACTTCAGCGCGAAGTCCATCTGCTCGCGTTTACGTATCTTCGACAAGTCCTCTTTATGGATCGCCACAGTCGGGTCGAGCTGTCCTGTCTTACTGGTATGGAAGATGCCCAATCTGACGCATTCAATGATGAGGGCTGCCAAGCCCGTGGCGAGGGCATTTGCAACCGAGCTGCCTGAGTGGCCCTCAAGCTTTTGACGGCCGGTGCCGTACACACTTTCGATGGTTCCATCGTGACCGGGGAAAGTGTAGCTCAGCCAGTCCGCATCGCCGACGTTGCTCGCGGTCGCCTCAGTCGCTTTTGCCGCGCCAATTCTAAAACTCTTTGTACCGATGCTGTGCGGATACGTCTGGTCGGCCGTCTTCCCCTCGTCACTGGCCGCGCAAAACATGAGGATGCCCTTCTTACCAGCTTTGATTATTTCGTCCTCAAATGCGTCCTTGATAGAGTCCTTTGAAGGCGGTTTCATTGTCCATGACATACAAATGATATGTACCCCTCGTTCGATTGCGTATTTGATAGCCTTATTTCTGTTAGAGAACCTCAATAGTGGCAAGGGAAGGCTTTCAGTCAACGGGTTTTCCCACCTGTATTGCGCTTTCAGGGCGGATCTGGAGCCTAGAGGAGCTTTCGAATGTGTCTAATTTGATGACATGGACGATTGCGCTAGGGCAGACGTGGTGAATGAGCATCGCCATCGCCGTCCCGTGACCAGATGACGAATGCCAATAAGGCGAGACGCGTCACGTCGATCCTTCTCGATAGTGACAAAAGCTTTGTCCTGGAAATCCGAAGCCCTTGAGAACATCATGAGTGATATCTGGTCCATCGTCTATCAATGCGACTTGAACTGGACCCAAGGACTGATCGGTCACAGGCTCTCGAAGCACTTGAATCTGTCGGAAGTAGGAAGCAAAGTCCCCCATGCACTGCATCCACTTGTGCGGATCAATTGGGCGCTGGTCGTTGTGGCTTAGCTGATCGCTAAGTTGCAGACCTCCCTCTTGGAAGATGTCGCCAGTTGGCTTCGGGCGAATAACCTCAGGTGGACTCAATTCGTGCGGCCATGTCTTACGAAGCCTCTTCTCGAACTCTTCAATGTTTTCTCTATTTCTTTTTCCAGACTCCAACTCCTGATGATAAGATGTCGAAGTCAGCATCCCTTAGATCATCTGGTTCAACATTCAGTCGACCTACCTCAACCTGATTGAGATGGGTCGACTTTAACGTGGGTATTTTAGCAAAGCCATCGGGCTCTGACCACGCTCTGAGCACAGTATTTCTGCCACTCCACTGGAGGTAAACTTCTCGTAGGCATTTACCTACTCGAGCAAGTGTGACTGGGTCCAAATCCGGCCTCCGCCAGTCGAGGACATCGACGTCCTGCCGGAGATGAGCAAAAGTATAAAAGAGCACATTATGTGTAAGGTTCATATACTATGACTTACAATTGACTCCAAAGCTTTTTCTATTGATTCGTCGCTATGGTGAGGCGGCTCAAGGTCGTCAACAATGACCTAAGAATTTGTCTGTGAGATGTGGCAATGATACATGAGAAATTAAGCCTGGGGAGAAACGCACCTTTAAGATCCGCTTGACCCCCTTTTCTTTCAGCCAATTGAAGAAGAAAGTCATATCCTGAAGCCTTCAGCCTCTAAGTACCAGGGTAGGTAGAAATATGGAAAGAAACGTACCGTCCGGCTCTTTTGCCGTGTGTTGGAAATGTCGTCTTTCTTGTTTTCCAAATGAATCCGTGGAAAAGCTACGTACTGCAGGGCAGATTCGAATTGAAGATGGTCAAAATGTCTCCTGAAATTGCTTCTAGTGAACGTCCTGGGTGGGCCGAAGTCAAACCACATTTCTTTTCGCTCTGGAATAGGGTTAGAGGTCAACAGAAAAAGAGGGGCCCAGTATCAAAGAACGCAGTGAATATGTATTTACTTACCTCTCTCCTCGGGTGAGTGGAGTAGATGAACTATTCGGTCTGGTGTTTGCGTACGAAGGTAGTGGAGTTTTAGCTGCTCTCCGATTTGGCGAGAAGCGTTTTCTCGATCTTCCTCGCTCTGGGAATCTTGCTCTATAGTGTTTTGAGCAGAAACACCAGAATTTCCGGTCACGTTAGAGACCCTTGCTTTCCGTTCATTGGACCTTGGCGTCTCGTAGCCCCCAGATGCTTCTTTGTAGAAGGAATCCCTCCGCCGTAGCCCACCTTCAGTCCGATCCATCTTGCTGTCTGGTAGCGGTGGACGTCCCATGTGTTACGGCCAGTTTCCAGACAGTAGGGTTTCCGCTAATAGTAAGCAGAGGTCGATACTCGGTTAACAGTAATGTCGTTCGCGTAGTCCGTTGATTACCTGGTGATCAGTCGTACTCTTAGATTATTAGGGTAGCTTGTATAGCTTCTTGTCAATTAAATCACTAAGGTTGGATACTGAAAGGTATTCAGAGAATGTATCACAAGTTGATTGCTGAAGAGCTATGGGAGTCTGTCCTTGGGTACGTTCAAGTCCATCCTATATACAAGTCCTGGCTGTTCCCTGAACTGCCTGTTTAACCAATTGTTTAGAGGTTAGATGAGCGCTTGCTCAGGCATCCACTAAGCTCTCGTCCTATTTATAATTGAGCGCTTATTCTTTATCTTATCTTGCGCTCATGGTCACGTGACTTGAACCATAGTTCTTCTATTCCGAGGAGCTAACCATCTGTTCCCTTGTTTCTTGTCTGTACAAATGCTGCTGCCGCCCATTGTCCGTCTGACAGGTGGGGCAACGTAGCCTGTAACTTGTTGGGTCGTAACACCATGGCTCCTTTCTCCATCTTTAACGCTACACTTTTAGACTCAGTATTATTGAGATTGGATGTTGTGACACGGTGGTCTTTCCCGTGAGCTGCAGTATTTTGAGGAGGCTTCTTCTGTTGACTTGTTGGCGATTTCGTAGCCCGTCTCCGTGACCTCTGATAGTACTGGTAGATGGAAAGAGGTCGTTCGGAGAACGATGGAGTGAATTCCACTGTTAGTGCCTCCGGTCCACGCAGAAGCATCTCGTTGACTATGCCAACTTGAGCTTTGCAGCATCTCCCATACTCAATGGCTATGTGGAGAGGTACACGGCCTTGCGAAACTTCGATGGCGAACATTTCCTCTGGTACGAAGTTGCACATTTTTCTGATGATCTTTTCCCTCGTTTTCTCGTCGGTGAAGGTGGAGTCCAGGGCGGTATGCAGGCAAGTTGCCGCTTTTCGGTTCTTGACACACTCGCTGCGCAGAGCTTCGGTGAGGAGTGGAGTGGTCTCGGGCGGTAGGTTGATGCAAGCTGCGTGGGTAAACATTGCGTTGCCCTTGCTTAGGGCCACTGTGAGAGGCGTTCTTTTAGTATTGTCCATGAATCCCACCAAGTGCGGCAACTTATGGATGGCTCGGGTCATCAGCCATGACAGATTGACAAATGGCTTGCGGTTGTTATAATCGTAGTAGGCCAAATGATGCAAAAATGTTTGGCCCTCCCAAGTCATTTTCCCCCATTCAGCCGTTCGTTCAACCACGAATGTCATAGCTTGCTTCTTTTGCTCCACAGACTCTGGCTTCTTTGGAAATAATGTTCTTGCATCGTCGATATCACCCTCGAACTGTGATTTGATGGTATCACGAGCATCATGCCCAGTCGTGGTGGCTATTTGGAGCTCAAATTCCTCCTCTTCAGTGCCCAAATCGAAAGCATTGTCATCGTCCGTCAGTCCAGTGAAAGTGCGACGCAATCCATTTGTATCATGGATATCCTGGCTATTCATCAACGCATGGCTTGACGGTGGAATAGAAACGGACATGATTGCTGGTGGTGCTGTGATATGACAAAGTGAAGTAATGTTTATGGAATGCGATCAATCGAAACGGCTCACCTCAGTCGCAGTAGAAACCATCTACTTGTTAGCCTCAGTACGAATCTATGTTTCTCCCACTAATTTGCATGACTGACATGGGGTGTCGAAATATCGAGAGAGAAACGGGTTATCCGCGCCCAACGATTGGATGCCTTGTTACACCATATAGCCGCTGCTCGGCCGAAGGACCCGAAACAAGTAAGACCTCCGAGCTTTTCAAAAATGACACACAGTAAGTACATGTAGTGTAGCTGTGACTTTGATCAACACAGCCTGATCTGCTCTGGATCCGCCAAGGAGGGATTTAGCGACGACGAAGGAGAGACCTCAAACCAGTTCGACGACGAGATTATAGATGAGGAGAACTTGGTAAAAACGGAAGACATGGTCGAGGGTTGTTGTTGTTGTTGTTGTTGTATTTAACGCTGGGGCGTCCCTATTTAGGGCAAAGGGCGCCTAGGCGACTGACTCTAGTTACAAATATGTCCATATCCTGCTCCTATCGCCAGTCCCTAGGAATCTAGAGTGTCTTGCTCCCTACTGTCAAGTGCCCACGGCTCTTCAGTGTCCTGGTTCATCTTGGTTCCCCCCTTTTACTACCTCTGGTTGTCGTAATCAGGGGGCTTCTGTGTGCCTTGTTATACAGTGCTATTTGCATATCTGCTCTATAGTGTAGGCTTAGCTTAGTTATATACCCTACCTTACGTTTATAGTGTCTTATATAGGAAGAGTATAGTGTAAGTAGAGTTATAGTAAGTGTAATATAATAAAGGAAATATATAGCGTAGTGTTATAGTTATATATAGTTATAGTAGTAAGTAGTTACTATAGGGCCTATAGCTCTCTTCCTCTATAGATCTACACTTAGGTAATATTATTATAGTTTTATTACTATATTAATATCTACCCTAGTAGAAGGTGTAAGAATAAAGCGTTCTACTATCCCTTATAGAGCTAGCCTGTTACTAAGGTAACTTATCTAATTGTCACAGGACAATAACCGCTTAACTAAAGGGCGCCGCCTAAGACTAGGTGGCGACAGCTGCCTAACTATCTTAAGGTTAGTATAGTGTTTTAGGGAGTAGGGCGTATTTAGCTAGTAATAGCCTTACAAATCGCAAGAGAATAGTTCTCTAAGATTTAGCTTCTATGTAATACAAGACCTATAATTACTAATACTTCTTTATAATTTTAATAGTCTATTACACTAATAAAGGCCTATAATAGTAGCTTTAGCTACTAGATGTCTAGTTAGTTACTTTCTAGCTATAGTAGTCCTAGTTAATAAGATAGGCATAAGTTATAGTGTTTAGGGGCATATCCTCCTAAAGAAATTATTCTCCCTTAGGTACCTAATAAACCACTTTACTTCTATAGTTACTATCTATATAAACTACTTCTCCTTATTTATTTATAGGGGTTATTATTTTTTCCTAGCCTTTCTATACTATATAGGATAGGCTAGGGCTTTAAGTTTACTATAACTATATCTTATACTAGTGTTATTATATCTAAATCTCTAATAGTAGCTTATAAAGTCTCTATATATAGACTATACTACTATTAGCTAGTGTAGCTACTCTCTTAAAAGTATTATAAGCTCCTTAGTAAGGTAGAGGTTTACCTAAAGCCTTAAAGGCTTATATCTATTAGGGTAGTTATTATCCTACTAGGCCCTAAAAGCCTATTACTTTTCCTCTCTTAGTTACTATCTTATATAACTATATATAGGTGCCTTAATATTAAGATCTATTAGTCTTATTATAGTGCCCTCCTTAGCTAGTTAGTTAGCTAGCTTATTCCTTAGGATATCTATATAACTAGGTACCTAGTAGACGTACACCTTCTCCTTATAGTTATTAGCGTTATTAATAAAGTTATTAAAAGCTTTTTATAATAACCTTATTAGCGCCCTATTAAGTCTATTAATAATAGAGGAGTTATTTAGGCATACTATTATCTTATCTATCCCTTTATTATACCTTAGTGCTACTTATAGTCTAGCCTATACCTCTTTAATTTCTACGTTATAGACCTCCCCTCTAGGGAGGCGCTATTAGCCTTAGTGCACTAGGTCTACTCCCCTAAAGACTATATAGCTATACCTTATCTTATTATATAACGTCTAAGATCTATTTATATATACTATTATATATATACTAAGGAGCTAGCTTACCTATCTTAGATATACTTTTATTACTACCTCCTTAGTCTAACTTATAGCTTAGTAAGTTAATAACCTATTATAGCTCCTAGGCTAGAATTCTAGGTAGGGGAAAAAAAGGACTACTTTTACTATATCTATAAGTATAATAGGCTAAATAGGCCTCCCCCCTCTCCTCCTTTTAGTTAGGTGTAATTAAATACACTAAACTAGTAGGTGTTACTTATTAAGAGTGCCTATATATAAGCTATATTATTATTTAGTAGCATCTAAGAGCTGCTCTACTAGGGGTATACTTAACTTAAAAAGTAGTACTAGAATTAAGGTAGTACGCTATACTAAAAAATATCCCTTAAGTATTATATTTATTACTATTTATATCTTTATAATATTATCTAATAGGCTATACCTTATAGTAGTTAGTTAGTTACTATTTTATTTTAGCCTCTACTTTTATCTCTTTAGGTATTAGACTTTAGAGGTATATAGCACCTAGGGTATTACTATTATATAGACTACCTTTTATAGGTAGTATAGTAAGGCCCCCTTATATACTTAGTTTAGACTATATATATAGCTTACTATTACTTAGGCTATTACTATCTTTTTCTTAATATATATCTTATAAGATAACTTCTAATTAAGCTATAAGCCTAGCTATCTTATTAACTTACCTAGCTATATTACTATTACTTTATATTATATAAGGAGTTATAGTATTACTTAGTGTTATAAGAAGTATATTACCTTTATTTTATTATAGTTAAAAAAGATCTTATTCTTTATACCTTATAAAGTTATTTTATTTAGTATTACTTATACCTTATCCTTACTCTCTTTTTTTATCTTACTTTTATAAAGTATTATATAGTTATTAGCGTAGCTAAACCTTATTAGGGGTAGTCTAAATCTATATAGGGGTTTAGTGTAGTATAAGTATAATATTAGTAATATAGGTAAGCCTTATAGAAGTCTATAGTATAGTAAGAGTATTAGGGAGATATAGTCCTTAAAGTGTATTCTTACCTTCCTATAGGTAGTAAAAAAGTATACTTACTAAATAATGTTATCTAGCTACCCCTATTCTTATAGTGTTTTTACTAGCCTACTGCTATTAACTATATTAAAGGCTCTCTAGATATTTATTATAATAAGTATATAGTATTTCTTATTATTTAGTGCTACTTTTATATTATATACTAGCGTTATTACTATATTAGTAGCTAAGCGTTATAGTAAGGCTCTAGCTACTTATAGGTATAAGATCTTTAGCCTAACGTACTTCTATATAAGTCTCCTTACTACTAGCCTCTTAAGCCTCTTCCCTATAGTTAATAATAAGAAAATAGGTCTCTAGCCCTTTAAGGTGCTTTAGTTATAGTTTAGTTTTAATATTATTACTATCTTTATGTCCCTAAACAGTAGGAGGTAGTGCCCTAGCTATATATAGTTCTTATATAGCGTCTTTATATATCCTCTAATATATAGCTAGGCTTCTTTAAGAAGTAAGACTATAATACTATCTACACTAGGGGTAGTGTTACTAGCCCTTAGTAGGGCTAACTTTACCTCCTTAAGCGTTATATAGTTATCTTAGTCTATCTCTTTTTATAATACTATTAGTATATATAGGTTAATATTAGTATTAGCACTAAAACGTTTTAGTAGTTATTAGTAAAGTAAAGCTACCTTTTTAGTAGGTATAGTAACTATATTTTTATTATCTTATAAAAGAGGTAACCTAAATTAAGTAATTAGCTATTACTACCTTATTACCTTATATAACTATTAGTCTATCTTTATATTATTAATCTAGTTAGCCTAGTACTTTACTTTTACTTAGTAGATAGTCTTCCTTAGCTCTTTAGCTATAAGTACTATCCCTTTTAGGGGGTTACTTCTCCTTACGTTATAGTAAATCTATCTTACCTCCTAGCACTCTGTTATCTACTACACTACTAACTTCCCCTTAACCTACTTATTCCCTACTATTACTATAGCGCTTTATAGGAGGTTAGTTAACGCTATAGCTACTTAGTTAAGGTCTGTTAGGGTGTCCTAGTTCTCTAGGAGAATCTAGGCTATATACTTAACCTCCCTCCTAAAGTGTGCTATTTCCTCCTCTATAATAACACTTATCTTATTACTTATCTTTAGAAGAAGTCCTATAGTTATAAGGATTATTATAACTAAAGTTAAGTAGTCTAACTTTATATAGAGGTAGTCTATAATATTAGTTATAGTTAGGGGGATATTTAAGAAGGAGAGATCTAGTATATTCTTACTATTATAAGTAGGGAGGCCTAGGGGACTAATAAGCGCTATTTATTACTTATCTACTTATTTTATTAAGTGTCCTATATAGTAGTTTAAGGTAATTCCTAGCTACTATATAAGGTGCTAGGCGTTAAAGTCCTCTACTATTAGTATATTAGGTCTTAGTGTTTAGTTAGTAATTACCTTAATTACCTCTTATATCTATAGTTCTTTATATATATTAATAAAGTGCTGCCTTAAGAGGGTAACACTAAGTATATTATAAGAGGGTGTTACTATAATATTAAATATAGTAGTGTTTATATATATCTTCTAGACGTATATAAGTACCTAAGGTCTAGTGTTTATATTTATCTAGTGTAGTATAAGTAAGAAAAGTATATAGTTTAGTGTAGTCTTTATTATAGACCTATTATTACTAGAGTACTATAGCTCTTAAATTATTATAATATTAAACTATTCTTAGTTTATAAAGGTAAGTATAATATTATACGTTAGGCCTAACCTTCTTATATTAATATAAAAAATCCTTAGTTATTATTATATATAGGTAATATTAGTAGGGATATACCTAGCTTAACTAGGGGGGGGGGTAGTACCTCCCTTTAAGACGTCCTTTATTACGTTATCTATTTAGCTAAACACACTAATCTTATATTAGTGTTAGTATACTAATTTCTATTAGAGTTATTACTTTAGTCCTAGGCTTTAGTTACACTTTAGTACTATAGTTAGATCTATAGGCCCTCTTTATTATCCTACCTTTATCTCTAATTCCTCTTTCTCTTATACTATCTTATATAGCTATTTACCTTATTATTATATAATCTATTTTTAGGCCTTTATTAGTCTTATAATCTCTTGCCCCTTCTGTTTAGGCTATACTAAGTAGTGTTTATAGTTACTCTTAAAGAGGCCTCTATAGTTAATATACTACTATAGCTTATTATATATTTTATTTTTATAGTCTGCCTTTAGTGTCTTATAGTTCTTATATATTTATTACCTTATATATAGGTGTATCTTATACTAGTTAAAGTATATAGTACACTAGTTTAGCTAGAACCTTTCTTATAACTACTACACTAAGGGGCTATTAAATAGTTAGAAAGGCTTAATATTAGTTAGAAGGGCTACTATCTATATTTATAGTAGTTAGTTCTAGGTGTTTTTAGTAGTATATAGCTTTAGTAGCGTCTACCTAGTTATTACCTATATCTTAGTTTTAACTATCTCCTTTATAACTTTTACTATATTACTTTTATAGTTATATATTTTTATTAGGACCTCTCTAATTCTATAAAACGTCTAGGCCTAAGGACTATTAATAGTAGTTACACTAAGCTATTAAGATAGCTTAGTATAGCTATTAAGTATAGCCTGTCTTACTTTATAACTATTTATAGTAACTATAAAACTAGTTAGAACCTTAGTTATTTTTTTAATCTCTATAGTTTAAATCTTATAGATTTAAGTAATATCTTTATAAATAGTAAAAGTTAGTACTTTATTATTAGGTATTTATATAAAAATATAATTATTAATATAGTAGTTTTATAATTATCCTTATATATCTCTTAATTAAGCTATAGGTCCCTAATAGTTAGGTCCCTTTAGGACTTTTAGAGCCTAGCCCTGTTATTATTACTATTAAGGGGGGTCTATTACTATTTTTCTTTAGGCTAGTAGTGCTAGCTAGGCTAGCTAGGCTAGTTAGACTAGCCTAGTTACTTAGCTTAGTTATATTAGCTAGATATCTTTATATAGTGTCCTAATAAGTAGGTAGGCATAGTAGTCTAATACCTAGTTATAGTATCCTTTTAACCTTACTTATTATATAGTCTCTTAGAGGTTATTAATAAGGGTGTTAGTAATATATCTAAAACTGTTATTAAGCGCTATAATTTTACTTAGCTAGTCCTTAGGGGCCTAGGTCTAAGTTATATTTATTATTAGCCTATACTATAAGGCGTCTAGCCCTAGCTTTACCTTAAGTAATTATATAAGCTTTAAGTAGTCTTTTAGGGTTATAGTTACTATAGTGTCTATAGAGGTGTTAATCCTCTTACACTTTAATAGTAAACTTTTACTAATTATAGAGCTTACTACTATAAATATTACTATTACTAGTAGGCAAAAGCCTGGCTGTGGCGTAGCTAGAGCTAGCAAAGCCAGCCTATTAGGGGCCGGTATAGTTAGGGAGGGGAGAAGTACGTAAGTAATGTGGGTGTTAGTGAAATAGGTGTAATGCACGCTTGGAAGCTAACAGCTCCAAAACGTGACAGATAAATAGAAGGGAAGGTTGACACATGGTCGAGGGTGGTACACTAGGTGGCCACTAACATGATGATAACCCTGTAGCAAAGTAGTTTCCAGTTTTCAAAAAGCTTATCATCATCAGCTTCTTGGGGCCAAAAAGCCTGCCTTACCTTTCCTTTCTCCCATATATCTTGCTTGATAGGTCTGTCTTTTCATTGATTCTGTCGGGCTCCTTGTTGCAACGCTATAGTAGCAATTCTTTCTTGCCTCATGTCGTGTTACCAAATGATTTAGTTGCCTTGTATTAGCTTGATATTTTCATCGCCAAATCGTCAAATGGCTGCGGTATTGGCGCTTCTGAACATTGTCCCATCTGTGATGTTAGGTTGGCTTTATCCTGGGCTTAATTAAAGATTTGAAGACCCGTTCTTTCCCCTTCCCCAGCGTTGAGATTTTATTAACTTTGAAGGGGCTCCCAGACCTCAGTCAAGACCGAATCTGAGGGCTGGCGATATAGCGTCCCTCCTGGAACCTGCAAGTCTTGCCAGAATAGGTAAGGAGTTCGTTCCCATATCGGAATTAAGTATTAAAGCGGCGGTTGTTTTCTTATCGCTGATGCCAAGAAAATCGTGAAAGAGGGCTTTTCTCAAATGCCCATATCGCAGCAAGGGTATTTCTTTGGTTCAAATGCAGGCAGCAGCGTGTCTAGGTTTGTTCATAAAAGATACTGCTGACCCCTGCAGGCTGAGCCTGACTGTCAAGCTCTTCTATCTCAATTCTTTTGTTTCGATTCACGTGTCCACCAGCCGAAGTCTAGATACAGACTGGCATAGAGCCGTACCAGCGATGTCTGCCACCTCTCATCATCACGACCTTCTTGAAATCACCACATCGACCGAATTAGCCTCGGATAATATACAGAAAAACAGGGCATGGGATTCCACGAACGAGAATGAGAACAGAACAGAGAGTCTGGCGAAACGACCAAGCTCAATGGCCCTTGAGCTCGACGAAACTGACAGCCCAGAACACCACACCAGGATAGAGCTGTCTCACGAAGACTACACCGTTGTATGGGTATGCGCTCTTCCTATGGAAATAACTGCGGCGAAAGCGATGCTTGAAGTTGTGCACAAGCCCCTTTTGTCGGGATATTCAACTGTTCAATAGTGGAGCCAATCCATGGTCACGTGATTTACTATCACGTGACTCACCCTAGCGGCTTACTTACACTACTATAAATACCTATAGCAGTAACCTCTTCTCTTTTCCTTTATTATTATCTTTACCTAGCTACTAATAGTTAATTAATACTATTATAGCTACCTTAATTATAATCCCTATAATACTAATACTAATTAGTAGTTAACTTTATAGTTACTACTACTATAGATTAGTAAGGATTATTAGAAGAGGCTATAATACTTTACTTACTATAGCAGCTTAGATTAAAGTATTAAAGTGCTACCTAGCCTAAAGATTATTAGTACCTAGGATCTTATAATACCTAGTAAATAACCCTTTAAGCCTTACGTCTGCTATATAATAACTACTATTACTACTATTAACTTTATTACTTTTAGAGAAGTCCCTTCTTTTATATACTACTTACTTACTAATAACCTTTATAATATCTAGTATAATTATTTTCTTTTTATACCTAAGTTTTTTTAAGTTCTTTTTCTTTTTATCTTTTAACCTTTTTTTTTTTTAATTATTAAGATTTTTATTTTACTAAGTTTTTATCTTACTATAGTAGTAATAGCCTATATAAGATTATAAGTAAATAGACTCCTATAAGTTCTTATCTAAATAAGATCTTACTAGTAGGACTAGCTATAAAGTAGTTAAGTAAGAACTACTTAAGTAATCTACTTTTAATATAGTATTTATAAATAAATAGCTTTTACTAACCTTACCCTTATATACTTCTAATATTACGTTATTAGCTAGGTGTAGCCTATAGTAATTATAACTCTTTTTCTTAATTAAATAGTTAGTAGCTAATTATTACCTTTAGTAAGTATACCTCCTTTTATTCTTAAAGTAAGGTAAAAAAAGTAAAAGTTACTTATATTACTTTAATTTACTTACTTTTTTTTATCCTTTAAATACTTATTAATAACTATACTATCCTCCTTACTTTCTTTTTTTTTTTAAGTAAGGTATAGTTATTAGTAACTAATATAACTTTTACTTAACTTTACTATCCTAATTAATCTAAAAAGACTACTTATTATTTACCTTTAAGTAAGGTATATAACCTTAACTTCTTACCTTTCTTCTTTTAAAAATCTTTAACTATAGTATCCTACTTACTAAAAGGTAAGGTCTATATATATCTCCTTTTAGAGGTAGTGTATGTCTCCTTTTGTTCTTTAAGTAAGATCTACTATAAGGCCTCCCTAAAGCTATCTCTTTACGTTACTAAAGCATAAGGCCTCCTTAAAGCTATTTACTACTATTTATTTATTTATTATTTTATTTTTTTATTTACTTTATCTCTTACTTATACCTCCTTATATTATATTATTTATTTACTTATCTTATTATTATCTATACTAATAGTAGTAATTCCTCTAACGTATAGATTTACCTCTAACCCTATAGGTAAGAAGTAAGTGCCTATAATTAAGAGGTTAGTAAGGCTAATAAAGGGTAATAATAGTAAAGAAAAGACTAAGTAAAAAGTAAAGTAAACTATAGGCGCTAGCTAAGGTAGAAAAGTATATCTATCTATAAGATATTAAGGATTTATATCCTATCCTAAAGTGTAGCTAGCCCTTTATTATTATATAACTATAAGGTATAACTAATTTAGTTAATATTCCTAATAGCCTTACCTAAGTTAAGTAATATAACGCCTTAAGCACTATTATTATACTTTAAATAATATAATATAGCTTTATATAGCTATATAGTTAATAGCTATAAAGATACGCTACTAAAGACTTTAAAGAATAGTTACTTAATACCTTTAAAGGTACTACCTATAAAACTATTATTAAATTTAAAGACTACCTAATACGTAGGGGTATATAGGTATTAATAGTAAAGTCACTAACTATTACTAAATAAATCTACTATACCCTTAAGGCTAATAATCTAAAGGCATAGACGCTTAAGGATATTAAAGAAGAGAAAAAAAAAAGTAAGGATTTTTACTTAAAGATTAATAAACCTAACTTTATATAAGATATTATAGACCTACTACTAAAAATAATATTAACATAAGATTAACTAGGCCCCTCCTATATTATTACCCCCTTAGTATAAGTTACTTAAGTCTAAGAAGGTTAATAAAGGCCTATTAATCTAGCCTTATTATATAATAACCTAAATTTTATTCCTTTACTATTTAAGCAGGTAAGTAATACTTACCCTTACCTATTAGTTATACTAGTTACTACTACCTTACTTATAACTTACTAGCTTACTAACCTTATTAAATTATACCTTAATAAGATAAAGTATAGTAGAGGGGTATATAAGTTACTTAAATTAAAGCTTATAATCTTTTGTAACTACTACATAAAGGCTAAAATCTAGTAAGAGCACTTTATAAGCGCCTTCTTTATTATACTTAAAGGTAAGGCTATAAAGTACTATACTAACTATCTCTATAACTAGACTAACTTTATAACTATAGTAATATAGATAAGAGGTAATTTTAAGAATAAAGAGACCTTTTAGGCCTACCTTACTAAGCTATAAAGGACTAATTTAATAAGGACTATCTTAAATAATCTAAATAAAAGTAAGGCTAAATACCTAAAGTTACTTATTAAGAAAGTAACTACCTTTATAAGAATAGTTATAAGGATTAGTACCTTATCTAATACAGCCCTCTATAACTAATTACTTAACTCCTGCTATAAAATAGAAAAATACTCCCTTACCCTTTTTAATCTATCTTTAACGTTTACTAGTATATATAGCTAGCTCTAATTAGTAATTAGTAACGTAATATAATTTAAATAACCTATATATTAATACCTAACTAAAGAAGTAAATAATTAATACTAAACTAACTATACCTATAACAGCTAGTAAAGTTACTAGTAATTTAGCTAATATAACTATAGCTATAGTAACTTTATACTACAGCGCCCTTTTAATAGTAATTTATAGTAATAAGCACCTCTTTTACCCTTATTATTATTTATAAAGAAATACTATATATATAGTAAGCCTAACTATTAGTTAATAAGGCACTTAAAAGACAAAAGGTAATAAGCCTACTATAAGTATAAAAAGTAGTATCTAACAGACTTTTTACCTAAAGCCTTTAACTACTTTATAACTAACTTTAAGAAATATAAGCTATTTACTTTAAATAAGGAAAGTAACTATATAAAGAGTAATAAAGATAAAGAATTAGGCACTACGTTTTACATGTTAATAATATTCTTTAACTTATTTACTATTAATAGGCCTGCTCTTTTTTTATTACTATATAACTAATTTATAACCTATTTTCTTATAAAGGATAACTCCCTATATAAGAATCTATATAATAATAAGCTACCTAACGCAGACGTCTTTACCCTTAATAAGTAATATTTATCTATCTTATTCTATAGTATTATACCTAACTCTAGCGTAGCTAAATATTTAACAGCTAAATATAAGTAGTATCTTACTTTTTACTACTAAATAAAAGGAAATCTAGCTATAAATAAGTTATAAGCAGGTAAAATAAAAATCTGCTTTAGTAGTAGTAACTACTTTAAATTATAAGGGGTAATTAATATACTAACCCCCTTTAGTACGCTAACCTTCTATATAATACTATTAAACACCCTATTTCTACTTTACCTTATAGATATAGATTAGTATAGTATTAAATTTAATAACCTTACTAATAAGCTAATCTAAAGTAACACTATTATACTTACTATTTATAAATAAGGCTATATATAGATACTACTTAATTAATATAAGTAAAGTATTACTTACTACTATCTTATAGATATTAAGTTATAGTAAATTTATTATTACTTTAGCTACTTATTAGTTAAAAGGCTTTATTACGTCCTCTAATAATCTAGTAATAAAGTTAAGATTATAGCCTTAGAGAAATTAACTAAGGTCTACTACTACTACTAGATAAATATAAAGGCGCTTAGTTACTTTAAATTTACTTTATATAATAATAAATATAACTTTAACTATAAGATTATTATTAATATTATCTACCTTAATAGTAACTGCCTAGCCTTATATATAGTTAATACTATAATATCCTTTTAAGCAGCCTGTTTACTTAAAAACATTACTACAGAGTATATATAGGAGGCACTTTAGATATACTAAATTAATATCTACCTTAGCCTACCTAACTAGATTATTACTAATACTAGCCTAAACTTTTATGCTAGTAAATTTAAGTAGTTAGTAAGGTTACTCTATATTAATATTAAAGAAATACTAATTAAAGCCTATAATAATATTAGTAAGGTTAAAAGATACTATACGCCCCTCTAACGTATATATAATATCCTTTATAGTAAGGGCTACGCACCTAAGGTTACCCTTTAGCTAGCTGTTAAAGTAATTAATAATATAGCTAGCCTAAATAGCCTAGTACTTACGCTACTAGTCTTTAGCGCCTACCTATAAATCTCTAACTTATTACTACCTTTACTAACCCTACTTAAAAGGGCTAAAGTAGTAAGAAAAGTAATAGAGGCTATTTACTAGATCTATATAAAAAGGTAAGTTAATAAGGTAGTAACTATATGTAACAGCCTAGATACTGCTATAACAGTAGCCTTTCTGCTTTAATCTATAGTCTATATCTAGTGTAAAAAAAAAGGCTAGTAAGGCCCTTTTTGCCTTATTACTAGTAATAAGACTACTTATACTATTAACCTCTCTTAAGGCCTATAAACTTTTTATTTAACTATTATTAAACTATACCTTAAAGATACCTATAATAAGTAATAATAGCTACTCTTTAAGGTAGGTAGGTAAGGTAATAAAGAGAATAATAATAATAGTATAGCAGCCTTATTACTTACTAATATCCCTACACTTACTAAAAAAATACGTAATAGTATTACTATTACTATACACCTATAGCTAAAGTAAAAAGCTAGCTGCCTATAAAGGTATATTAATTTCTTTAATAAAACTAGCTTTACTATTAGGCCTACTACCTTCTTTACTACTATAAGTATAGTATATATCTT